CACTCCAGGCTAAGACAGGGTTTCTCCATGTTGGTCAGGCTGGTCTCGAACTCCCAACCTCAGGTGATCTGCCTGCCTCGGCCTCCCAAAGTGCTGGGATTACAGGCATGAGCCACCACACCCAGCCTCTGTTGTTTTTTTTTTAAAAGAAGGAAATCCCTGTGGGCCTGTAAATCCTCTTGTACCCAGTGTTCCTCTCCTGGAAGGGCAGACTGTGCCCCTCCCCATCACACACAGATGGGTAGGGGCTGGCCTGCACCTGGCTGTCAAGGACACAATGCTGAGTGCTGGCTGAAAGGAGCCATGTGAAAGGCTCTTTGACACAAGTTTCAGATCCCTCTCTGAACTCTGTAGTTCCCTCACCCTTAAACCCAAGGAACAATGCAGGTCTTGGACCAAAGCTCCTGGCTCCAGCCCCTCCTTCTTCCTCTCCCCCCATTGTTATCTTGATCTCCCAGAGGTATCTGCTGGTCACAGCAGGTCCAGGCAGGGGTGGGGGTGGATTCCCTGGAGTGGAATCCCAGAACCTTGCGCTGTTTTACCCCTTCCAACTTTGACAGCCTGCCCAAGAAAACCTGGGGCAAGGGGCAGGGGCTAGACCCCAGACTGGTCCTTTACCAGCTCATCCTAGAGAGGCAGAGAGCAAAAGTTCCCAAGAAGACTGTAGTCCTAGCTACTTGAGAGGCTGAGGTAGGAGGATTGCTTGAGCCTGGGACATCGAGGCTGCAGTGAGCCATGATTATACCACTGTACTTCAGCCTAGGCAACAGAATGAGACTCTTGTCTCAGAAAGAAAAAAAAAAAGTTATCCAGAAGAGACCTTGAGAGTGCCCCTACACCTCCCATTTGTTGCATGAGTAAATGTGTACGAGACCCTATACAGGGTAATGGTTAAGAGCCTGGGCTCTGGGTTCAGGCAGATCTGGGTTCGAATCCTGGCTCTGCTATCATACTACCTGCATGACCGTGAGCCAGATTACTTAACCTCTCTGTGCTTTAGTTTCCCTTCTGTAAAGTGGAGAACTAGTGCCTACCAAAGTGTTAATAGTGAGGATTAAATGAGGCTAATGATGTCAAGTGTCTAATGCAGGCCTGGCACATCCGTGATGCTCAGTAAACATGGCGGTGGCCTAGAAAGACTCAGTGGCTTGCCTCAGGGCCCCAGCTCCCTCAGTGTTCACCTTCCTCTCCTCACATAAAGGAGGCTTCTCTATCTAACTCTTCCGGGCTGTTGCAAACTAGTGGGGGCTTCCCCAGGTCCTGGCTCTGTAGTCGTGACAGGCCCTGGAGGACCCTGGAGTCATTTACTCAGCCAAAGTTACTGAGTGCCTGGTACGCAGAGGGTCACAGAGGCTGATGAATGCACTGAGTTGCGGCCATTGTGGGCCTTGCAGGGAGGCAGCCATGCTGGGAGAGGCTGATGCATTCTGATGAATTCTCTGGAGTAGTATTTAGAAAGGTAAGGAGGACAGCCAGCCTGGAAAAGGATTGGAGGGAAGCAGGACCCCATCAGGGGAGTGGGGAATGACGGATGCCTGAGGTGTTGACCTTGCTGTTGTGGGTCTGAGGTACTCTGCTTCAAGCTCCTGCCCCCAAGTTCAAGGCATTTGTGGGCTCAGAGGCCCAGGGGCTGCCGGCCACATTGTGTTTTTGAGAAGACCCTCATCTCCTGCAGAGTCCAAGCTCCCTCCCTGTTTAGGACTGAGGCGTTTCTGCCTGTTGGGCTCCCTGCAGCGGGCACAAGCCAGGCCTTTCCATGCCCCCAGCCAGCTGCCCCTTTCACCGCCCCCCCAACCTCTCAGGATTACTCAGCCTTCACAGCGTCTGTCACTAAGATGCTGAGTGCATTCCTGACAGCCTCTCTTCAGGAAAAGCCCAGGCTGTGTGGCCTTTTAAAAAAGGCTCTGTGCCCGGGTTAAGCCTCTGATTGTGGTTCTGCATGAAGAAACCATAAACCAAAGGGAAAGCAATGGTTCAGCTTTCGTCTTGGAGCTTTGTGTCAGCATCTGCCCTGAGTCCCTGGGCTTAGAATTTAATGTGAGCCATACAGGCAGGTGGGGAAGCTGTCCTTTCCCTCCAATTTCAGCACAGAAATAGGGAAAGTCCAAGGAACCTCTGTCTTGATGACTTTTCTTTTTCTTTTCCCTTTTTTTTTTTTTTTGAGCTGGAGTCTCGCTCTGTTGCCCAGGCTAGAGTGCAGTGGCCCGATCTCAGCTCACTACAACCTCTGCCTCCTGGGTTCAAGCGATTTTTCTGCCTCAGCATCCCAGGTAACTGGGACTACAGGTGTGCGCCACTGTGCCCAGCTAATTTTTGTATTTTTAGTAGAGATGGGGTTTCACGATGTTGGCCAGGCTGGTCTCAAACCCCTGACCTCAGGCAATCTGCCCACTTCGGCCTCCCAAAGTGCTGGGATTACAGGTGTGAGCCACCACGACCGGCCTGTCTTTTTAAATTTGAGATGAGGTCTTACTATTTTGCCCAGGCTGGTCTTGAACTTCTGAGCTTGAGCACTCCTCCTATATGAGCCACCATGCCCAGCTTATCCTGGTCTCTTTGAGCGCTGGGCTCTGCTCTGAATTTTTTCTCCTTGATAAAGGGCTCTGGGGGATGTCCCCAGCACAACTTCATGACAAAATCCCTGTCCCTGGAAATCTTGGTTCCTCTTCCAGAGCCAGGAGCTTGAAAGTGATGTCTAGGCTTTTAGGCTAATTGCTGGAAAGGCCCAGTCATTTTCTAAAAGGTTTCCAATGGCCACACCAATGTTAAGGAATCTGGCCTAACCCAGGGAGGAGGGAGAGAGAGAGAGAGAGAGCAAGCTCTGGACCGGCCAGCAGGGGAGGGTGAGCCTGCACCTGCAGGAAGTCCTCTGCCTTTCTATCGAGGCAGAGCTGAGTCCCTTATCCTAGGGGGTGATGCTGACTGTACTTGTCCAACTGCTGTGTAAAGGCCATTTTCCCACCCTTGGTCCTGGGGAATAATTTGATCTTCCCCTGCTCCTCTCCAGGGGGCACTGGCAGCCCAGTAACTGGATGTTATATGGCCCTCCCATCATCCACTTCTGCAAGGGTCACCTTGGTGCATTTTCTGGGTGTGTTGTTCCTGGGTAGCCCCTACCACATTGTCTTCCTCTTCCCTTCATCTTTGTCCCAAGTAATAACACAGGGCAGTTTGTCTGTACTTCATGGTACATTCTGCTTTCGTTTTTCCCCCACAAAGACAGGCATTTCCGGCATCCATTTTTCTGCACAGTAGTTTGCCCTGTGCTTTAAACTGGAATGGCTTGGGTTTAATCACTAGGCCCATCTGCTCAGGCTCTGGGAAACTCAAGACCCTCTGGAGAAGAGATCTGGGACCAAGGACCATTCTGTGAGTGGTCGTGCAGCGCCACCTCCTGGCCACAGTGCACATTGTAGCTTTCCATTCTTGCTCAACAGTCGTCAGAAAAGTTCATCTATAGCAGAAGGAACTTGCAAAAGATAATCTTTTTTTTTTTTTTTTTTTTTTGAGACAGAGTCTTGCTGTGTCAGCCAGGCTGGAGTGCAGTGGCATGATCTCGGCTCACTGCAACCTCCACCTCCTGGGTTCAAACAGTTCTCCTGCCTCAGCCTCCCAAGTAGCTGAGATTACAAGCACGTGCCATCACGCACAGCTGTTTTGTATTTTTAGTAGAGCTGGGGTTTCACCATGTGGGCCAGGCTGGTTTCGAACTTCTGACCTCTAGTGATCCGCCCACCTTGGCCTCCCAAAGTGCTGGGATTACAGGCGTGAGCCACCACACCCAGCACAAAAGCTATCCTTAAGTCCGTTTATAGTTGATCCTGTAATGCTCATAGTTTTTTTCCGTATCTGCTTGGCCTTTCTGGGGATGTCTTGCCAAGTCTCCTATTAAAATGACTGTTTCCACCACCCAAATTATCAAGGTAGGACTAAGCAGCTTCAGTCCAGAAGCAAGGCTATCACCCTAGAACCTGAGGCCACAAATGTGTGTTCCATGGGGCTAATCCATGGTATCTTGTGTTTTACCAATTAGGCTCCCCATCCTGGGGTGGGGGTGGGGGGGCCTTAAAGAGAGCTGCTGGAGTGGAGGAGGAAGACAAGACTGTGAACAAAAAGTGTAGCTTCTTCCTTGGGGCTGGGGCTGCTCTATAGTTCCTAGTCTCTTGTTTCTAGCCTGAAGGGTTTTTTTTTTTGTTTTTTTGGGGGGTTTTTTTGAGAGGGAGTCTCACTCTGTCGCCCAGGCTGGAGTGCAGTGGCGTGCTATGGGCTCACTGCAAGCTCCGCCTCCCGGGTTCCCACCATTCTCCTGCCTCAGCCTCCCGAGTAGCTGGGACTACAGGTGCCTGCCACCTCGCCTGGCTAATTTTTTGTATTTTTAGTAGAGACAGGGTTTCACCGTGTTAGCCAGCATGGTCTCGATCTCCTGACCTCGTGATCCACCTGCCTCGGCCTCCCAAAGTGCTGGGATTACAGGTGTGAGCCACCGCACCCGGCCTCTAGCCTGAGGTTTTTAGGCAAATTGGGCTCAGTTCTGCCTCCCCTGACCCAGTATCTAGGGAAGCTGATGCTGAACAGAACTACAGCTCCACTAACTCGAAGGGGACCAGGTTACTCCGTTGTCTGGAACTGATGGCCTTCCTGGGAATTGATGTTAGGGAGGATTTTTGTCTTCGTGAATTAATTTTGAGTGGGCTGCAGCTGGAGCAGCAGAACACCTTGATTCTGTGCCTGGCCTCATCTTCCCCCATGGAATGAAGAATAAATGCTCTGTAACTCAGGTCTCCCAAGCTAAAGAATGGAGATTCCTGACGTTCCTGCTTTAAAGAAAAAAGGCTGGAATAAACATGTATGTTTTACTGTTAACTGTATGTGGTTGTTCACCAGCCGTATACTGTGTGCCCTAGTAGAGCTTACAAACTGGAAGAGCTATGGGCATGGTAGTATCTGTGGACAGAAACTGATGTCCCTAGAGCTAAGGCTTCTCATTCTCTCCACCCTAGGCCTGGTCTCCAAGTCCTCTCCTAAGAAGCCTCGTGGACGTAACATCTTCAAGGCCCTTTTCTGCTGTTTTCGCGCCCAGCATGTTGGCCAGTCAAGTTCCTCCACTGAGCTCGCCGCGTATAAGGAGGAAGCAAACACCATTGCTAAGGTAGGTGGGTCGGGGTGGTAAGATGCCAGCAAGGAAGGGACTGTTAGTGGGAGATCCCTGCCAATGATGGCAACCAGACCAGGAAGCCTTGCCTGAGGTTGCAAAGATTTCTGGCTGAGAGGGGCCCTTCTTCTATCCTTCCATAAGTAGTTCATTTCCTTTCTGTTCCTTCCCCTTTGCGGTATGGGCCATTCAGATGTCCCTGTGGTTTCTGACGGCCCCTGTGATCCTGATCCTTCCAGGTTCCAGGAACTAGGCAAGGTGCTTTGCATATATTGTCTCGTGATCTAGCCAGCAGCCCAGTAAGGAGATCACAGGATTTACACTTTGCATATACGGGTTTATGGAGAGGGTTTATGTGGCACCTGAATAGTTCATGGTTAATAAATAGTAGTGTCAGGATTTGAACTTAGATCTCTCTGGCTCTAAAGCCTGTGTTGTTGTTCTCAACTATGCAAAGCTAACTTCCAAGTTACCTGACTTACAGGGAACCAAGGAATTGAAACTACCATGCTGTTAATAACTCCTGTCAGTAATTCTCTCCTGTACTCACACAAGGCATTTGGGATTTTGTGGGTATTTTTTATATGTCTAGTACTTCACAGGTGGGGCCAGCCCCAACCAACAAAAATTATTCTGCCCCAAAAGCCAGTGGTACTTCTCTGAAACACTGAGGTCTGGTTGTCCTTCCTTTTTCTCAAGACCAGGCTGAAGACATACATCAGTGAAAAATCACTGCATTTTGCAGTAGGGGAAATGGTTAAATAAAATACAACATGACAGTATTACTGAGTGATTAGCTTTTACAGAGTTCTCAATAACATGGAGAAGTACTGACTTGCAACATTAAGTAAAAAGGCAGAGTGTGTAATTATATAGCATTCTGAAAAAAGTCTGCTGACACAGATTTGAAGGCAGTACACTGAATGCCACATTGTTTATCTAAGTGCTAGGATTTTAATTTTTCTTCAGAGTTTTCATTAAGAACACTTAAAACCATAACCTTTCTTTTTTTTTTTGGAGACGGAGTTTTGCTCTCGTTGCCCAGGCTGGAGTGCAATGGCGTGATCTTGGCTCGCTGCAACCTCCGCCTCCCGGGTTCAAGCGATTCTCCTGCCTCAGCCTCCCGAGTAGCTGGGATTACAGGCATGTGCCACCACGCCCGGCTAATTTTGTATTTTTAGTAGAGATGGAAAAGGTTTCTCCATGTTGATCAGGCTGGTCTCGAACTCTTGACCTCAGGTGATCCACCCGCCTTGGCCTCCCAAAGTGCTAGGATTATAGGCGTGAGCCCCTGCGCCCAGCGGTCATATTATTTATATTAGCAAAAATTGGGGTGGGGGGGCTTGCTGATCTCTCTGCACTCCCTCCCCTCACATTTTGGGTACCCACAGTATGGCTTGCTTGATGTTTTGTAGGGCTTGTTCCCCCATATAACCCCTAAGGAGTGCACAGAAAACAACATATTCTCAAAGAGAAGCTGAGTTTAAGGACTTAGCGAGAGTTTGCCACTGTGAGGAATTCAGACTTTGGTTCTGCCTCGACTCTGTGTCCCTGAATCAGTTACTTGAGTTCCCTGTTCCTCACTTTGTCCAATTGAGAGGCAGTGTCAACTGAGAACAGGGACACTTGTCTTCTTCATCCTTCACCAGGCCTAATGTGGAAAGGAAGCTCTAGCCTTTCCCTTTTCCTGCCCCACTCCTAGGAAAAGTAAGTTTTCACATGGTAGGAGCTTCCAGGTGGCTGGGTCTGCAGGAGAAAGTTGCCCTTCAGGCTTAAGACAGAAGTAGAGGGTTTGAATGGGGTGGGAAGGGCGGTGAGATGGCGCTGACCGCCTCCTTCTCTTCCTCAGTCGGATCTGCTCCAGTGTCTCCAGTACCAATTCTACCAGGTACGTGACTCTGGCCTGGTAAGTACTCAGAAGCCAGGACCCTGTGATCCCTGCCAGCTCCATGGGCAGGGTGACGTGCATAGTCCTTGGTGCCTGGCCAGCCACCTCCCTGACCTGCGAAGCCATTTATTCCCCATATTTGTTGAGGGCCTGCTGTGTGCAAGGCATTAGATTTTAGGGGACAGCTGGTGCTCCATGCCCTCTTCCCACAGCTGCTGTCCATCCCACACCAGCCCTGGCCACCACCTCCAATGTCCAGATCACTTAATAGTCCCATTGGGAGGCTGAAAGCAATGAAACAACTCCACCTTCTCTCTTCCCGGCCTTTAAGTGGTGCCTATCCTGGGTTGGTGATTGTCTCCACAAACAGCCCAGCTCTTCCCATAGTTATGCCAAGGGGTACAACTGGGCCTTCTTGGTGGGCAGATCTCAGCAACCTGGCTTGGTTTTAGATCCCAGGGACCTGCCTGCTCCCAGAGGTGACAGAGGAAGATCAAGGAAGGATCTGTGTGGTCATTGACCTCGATGAAACCCTTGTGCATAGCTCATTTAAGGTAACTCAACGTCTGGGGAACGCTTCCTACCTTTATCTTGGGCCCTTTTGTGAATCTGACAACAATTGTGTAAGGAAGCCTAAAGGTGAGGAAAGAGGAGAGATTAGAAGGGAAAAGGCCAGGCCTCTGGCATTTTGGCCACCCTGGTGTCACAGGTATCTAGAGGCCCCACTAAAGACTGTTGAGTAGGAACCCTGTGTGTTCCACCAGGGCTGCTATCTCCAATCACTCCCAACAGGCTGCATCTGCCCCTGAGCCACATAGCACAGACAGCCACCAGGGCTCTGTACAGGGCAGGCCTAAAAGAGTGGTTGAATCACCTTTGGCCCTTGCCCCTGCTTGTCTCATCAGGAAACTCAGGCCCCAAAACTCTCAGCTCAGGTAGAATTTGTCAGAGTGGAGGTGCTAAGGAGTAGGGAAAACCAGAATGGGATATCACATTTTGAACAAGGGTGAGAACCCCTTAATGGGGCAGCCAGAGGCACTTCCAGGAGTCTCTAAGACCTGTTTCTCCCCACCCACCTAGGGTTATGGTGGGGGCCTCATGTTTCTTTGCCACCATGCTGACAGCATTAACTTTTCTGCCTTCCAGCCAATCAACAATGCTGACTTCATAGTGCCTATAGAGATTGAGGGGACCACTCACCAGGTGAGCTGCCAGCCCGACCACACCCAGCCCAGAGGATGGGGGGTCTGCCTTCTGTCCCACGTGTACTGGGGTCCTCCACCCGTCTTAGGGCTTGCGTTCTGTCAGCTAATCCCTTTTCTATAACTCCAGCCTCCCCTTTTTATTGGTATCTTTCACACTCAAGGCTTTCTCATCTTAAAGAGTTTCAGCCCATATCCCCCCCAGCTGTCACCCTTGTTTTCTCTTTGCAACCAAGCTGTTTAAAAAAATAGTTTACATTTTATTTAATAATAATAGCTATCATTTGTTAACCACCATCCTCTCACATGGCCAGCACTGTTAACATAATTTATTACATTTCTCTGTTCCTTAAGAAAGGTATCTATACCTGTAAAGATACCTTAACCAGGTATCTCTTTTCCTGTAACAGGCAAGGAAACCAGTAGTAACCATTTTCTCTGCCTGGAATGCCCTCTTGCGCATGCTCCACCCCCACACCCCCACTGTGAATAGCTAGTGACTTTCTTCCTCCCTAGCCCAGACATCTCCTCCTCTGTGAAGCCTTCTCTGACTGCCTTCCCTGGGGCCCTCCATTGGATTCTGCCTGAGGAAGTCCTCAATGTATGTCTGTCAATGTAAAGAGCACTCAAATCTAAACGGACCAGGCTCCAGCCTGCAGCCCAGGCAGTCCCGGCTTAAGGATCATGTGACACTGCTAGTGAAAGACCATTTACTCAGCTTGCCTGCCCAGAAGACCTGCCAGGTCCTGTGCCAGGCCCCGGTCAGGACCAGGCTTGGTCCAGCAGCCCTTTTACAGTCTAGCTGAGGGTATAGGGATGTGCTAAACCCTTGTAGAACAGGTGAAGGCGTATTTTCAAACAGATACATACTGTGAACTCCTGGCTAACAAGGAAGGGTATGAATAATTTTTAAAAGGATGAGGTTAAAATAAGGGAGCACTACCTGCCCAAAGTGGGTGAAAGGATGCCAGACTTGATGAATAGCTGGGATGAGGAAGGGGCTTGTTGGAGGTCAAAGGAATGGCAGGCTAACAGAAGCTAAGTTGTGGCTGCCTAGAACAGAGGAACCTGCAGAGCTCTTGAGGGGTCTGGTGAGTTGGTGGCCAGTTCAGGCCCACTCTAGGAGGGAGAGTCACGGGAGGCTGACTCTCGTTGAGCTCGGGAGTTATGTGGGTAAAGGAGCTTTGGGAGTCAGGCGCCGTGGCTTACACCTGTCATCCCAGCACTCTGGGAGGCTGAGGCAGGAGGAACGCTTGAGCCCACAAGTTACAACCAGCCTGGCCTCACACAGCAAGACCCCATCTCTAAAAAATAAGAAAAGAAAAAGGACCTTTGTGGAAATGGTTTCTGGTAGCACCTGTGTAGGCTAGAGTCATGGAAGCAATAGAGTGCAGACCGATGGGGGGTCAGGTAGCCAAAGGACTTGCCAGAATGTGCAAGATCGTAAAGGTGGACGCAAGTGTTAGGGGTGGCTGGCAGAAGCAAGCACAAAATCTGGTGCAGAGCAAGAGTCGGCAGGGTATCTGTCTAGAATGGGGCCATTGAGGGGAAAAAGTCACTGCTCCCTGGTGCAATTCATTACCTGATCGTGACCTGGACAGACTGTCCTGTTGGAGCCAAGGACAGAAAGCTCCCATAGAGGCTGTGGCTGGATTCAAGTAATCCAGGATAGGCTGTTTCCATCTGTGAGGCCTATTCTTGATTACTTGTTTCTGGAGGCAGCTGATGGTCCGCCGCGGGAAACAGAGATGGCTCCTGGGACAAGGTGTATGCACTTCTTCCTGCACCAGGTTGAGGTTGGGACCACTGATCCATTGGAAGCCTGGTGAGGGGATACAGCCAGTTCTCAGGGTCTGTGGACCCTCAGGGGGCCACAGGCTTCCAGCCAGGTAGTCCAAGAGGCTGGGCTGCAGGGGTTGAGAGCTCCTTGCTGCTCTCTGTAACTGGTGAAGGTACCTGGTACTGCAAAGCTTCATCACAGGGAGGCTTCCAACAGGCTGCTCTGCTCTTCCTCAGGTGTATGTGCTCAAGAGGCCTTATGTGGATGAGTTCCTGAGACGTATGGGGGAACTCTTTGAATGTGTTCTCTTCACTGCCAGCCTGGCCAAGGTACCTAGGGGTGAGAGGGAAGAACCAGGAGTGGGTGTGGTGGCCACAGGGGTGGTCCAGCAGCTCCCTTTTGGTCCCTAGGGTGCCACAGGAGGACTAGAACTGCATCCATACTAAGGCATCTTCTCTCCTCCTAGTATGCCGACCCTGTGACAGACCTGCTGGACCGGTGTGGGGTGTTCCGGGCCCGCCTATTCCGTGAGTCCTGCGTGTTCCACCAGGGCTGCTATGTCAAGGACCTCAGCCGCCTGGGTAGGGACCTGAGGAAGACTCTCATCCTGGACAACTCGCCTGCTTCTTACATCTTCCACCCTGAGAATGCAGTGAGTGCTCCTGACACGTCTCCACGGTAGGGATTGGGAGAGGAAGCAGACTGGAACTGTGGGCTCCACCAGAGAAGTACACCCCTCCAGGAAGACCCAGCCACCCTCTAGGGCTCTGGGGTGAGGGAGGAGGAAGCGGCAGCTGGGAGATTGACACCACATCTTCCCCCCACCAGGTGCCTGTGCAGTCCTGGTTTGATGACATGGCAGACACTGAGTTGCTGAACCTGATCCCAATCTTTGAGGAGCTGAGCGGAGCAGAGGACGTCTACACCAGCCTTGGGCAGCTGCGGGCCCCTTAGCCTGCCCTGCTTCCAAGCGACGGCCATCCCAGTAGGGGACTTTCCCACACTGTGCCTTTTTGATCAGCGTGACAGAGTAGAAGCTGGAGTGCCTCACCACACAGCCTGTAAAGAGTGAGAAGTAATTGGAAAGAGCTTTAGGACAGCTTAGATGCCGAGTGGGTGAATGCCAGAGCAACGATACCCAGAGCTACCTGCCACCACCTTGTTGAGATGTGTGTTTGAAAGATTGTGTGTTTGTGTGTGTGTTTTGCCATGAACTGTGGCCCCAGCATATAGTGTTTCAGTGGGGGAGAAGCTGAAAGACCAAGACTCTTCCCAAGTTAGCTTGTCTCCTCTGTCACCCTAAGAGCCACTGAGTTCTATAGGGATGAAGACTATTGAAGGCTCCATTGCCAAACCATGGCCTTTCCTCAGTGTTGTAAGGCCTATGCCAAGGATAAAGGAAGGGTATGCCTTTGGGTACTCCAGGCACACACCTTTCTGAAATCCTTCTCCAGCCAGCTGCTGCAGACAAAAGATCACATTTCTGGGAAGATGAGGACTTATTTCCAGACCAGCACCCAGTGGCCATCAGGTGTTGTGGCCCAAAGGCTGTGCTTGCGTCCAGCTGAGTGCCTGGGACAGGCCCTTTCTATGTTTCCCCAAGGCTGGGGTGCTGAGCCTGCCTTCCTCACCACCTAGCCATAGTCTCAAACGTGGGGAAGGAGGTTTTCTCCCTGCCCGGGAAGAGGACAGATAACTGATTTCCGTTCTTTTGACTCTGTTTTAAAATTCTCTTTCTAAACACGGAGTGTCGGGCCTGGTTTGTTTCTGACAAAGTTACGATCCTGGGCCTGTGATGAATGTCGGCAGCGCTGGGGTTGCAGGGAAAAGATAAATCCTCAAAGCGTGGACGTGTGTGTCCCCGTGACTTGTGGATCAGCTGAGCTCGGGATCATTTCCATAAGTCTGCTCTTCAGGGATTCTCTGCTGGTGCTGGTGCTGGTGCAAGGACTTTTGTTCCAAGGGCTGGGAAGAACTAAGCTGCCCCAGCCCCTCCCATTTCTTGGGCAGGGCTCTTTCCTGTTGTGTCTTCCCCCAGGGCCTATCCTCTACTGAGCTCTGTCTGTTCCAGCCTTCATCCTTCCTGGCTGTTGCTTTTCCTCCTGAGGGCCTCAGAACTTCTGCTGTTCCTGGGCTGAGGGGGAATGAGTGTTCTTGCCATTTGCCAGCCTAATGCACATGCTTTCTGCCTCTGGTAACAGGAGTGAGTGAGCCCCTCAGACCTGCACTCTGGGTGTTTCCTGCTTTCAAAGGTTCTTAATAGTGAATGCTTTAGAATTAAAGTCATCATGAAATGGAAGTTTTCCCAGGGTGGAAAATGAGGAAGTGCTGCTGTAATTGGGAGCACAAGGGGCCTCCCCAAAAGGAGCCCTACCTCAGCATCACTGCCTTAATTGTGGCCTCCCTGGGTGGGTGGGGTTCTCTCCTCCCTCCCTCCCTCCTGGGGTGGGAGGGAGCTCCTATTCCCATCTCTGTGTTCCCTGGAGGCAGGTATCACAAAGCATTTGTGAATTGCTTCAGGTGCAGGGACACCACCCACTCAGGACTCTTCCCCATTATCCCTTCCATTGCCACACCCTAGGTCCAGCCTCAGGAACTAACAAGTTCCGAGAAAAGCAGAGGGTAGAGCAGCAGCTTGGTGCTCTCAGCGGTAGCTGGCTGGCTGGCTGGCATCTTTCTCTAGCGTTGTGGTGCCACCTTCCCTCCTGTTACAAGGTTATAGGGCCTTGTCTTTCTCTCTGGAATCAAAGTGGAACAGAGTCCCCAGAACTCATGTGGTCATTTCTGCCAGCATCATTCCCCTGGTGCCTGTGGGGTCCCAGTGTACCTAAAGGGAAAAGGGCCCCATATGCTAGCCAGGAATACCATCTCTTGAAGGAAAACGGGAGCTCAGATCCTTAGAGCCAACTGTGGCTTTGGACCCAAGACCTGGCCTAGGCTGCTATCCTAATATTGCAGGAGGGGCCTCTCTTCCAAGCCCCACCCTAAGGGTTAGCCCTTGGCCAAATCTTTTTCTGTATGGGCCCAGCCAGGCTCTTCTGACTAAATAAGCAATAAGAGGCCCTAAGCTGACTTGAGTTTCTAGGACCCTTTCCGCCCTCCCTTGGATCTCCATGTTTTTCCAGATGAAAGAAGAGCGTGTGCCACCCCCTTTCCTAACAGGCTTGTCCAAGTGCTTGGTGTGGGGCCCATGACCAAAGCCCAGGATGGCTTGGTGGGAGTGTCCCTGCTGCATCTGCATGAAGCCCCTGCTTTCTAGGCCTCGCTCCCATCAGAACCCTGCCTGCCCACCTGCAACTCCCCCACAGCAATGCCATTCCCACTTGCCCCAGAGAAGCTACTCAGCCAAACCTAGCCAGGGTCCATTCATGTGAACCAGAGCCAGCCTAGTCGTCATTTGCTGTCGGGTTTCCAGTTTCACCGTGTGTTAGGGTGAGGGATGATTGTAAAATTTGCTCCTCAGAGGAATCAGGCCAGTCTCAATTTTGGAGGGCAAGACAGGGAGGAAGCTGCTTCATCTCGGACTCTGTTCTAGGGCTTCCCACCATCAGCCCCTCCCACTTGAGACTGGTCTTTGGGAGGTAATAGGCCACCATGCTTGGTCAGCACCAATTCAAGCCATGCCAGGAATCTGCCTACCTGCCAGATTCAGTTCTTTTAAGGTGCCTCTTCAGGGACACAGTGTCTCTCTCTGATTGGGCTTCTAAATCAAAAGCCTGATGTTCGTGTCCCTCTCATAGGGGGAGCTTTGGACACAGGACCAGTTTGGAAAAGGGTCAGGTAAGGGTTTCCACTCTGCACATTGTAGAGGGGACACTCTGTAGGCCCATGGGTCCCTTACTAGAAAGGTTGAATGAATTTGCCTTCAGTTAACCTGGGACCTTCTGTTTAGCTTCCTTCTGCCTCCCAAAGATTTTAAGCATTTTGTAAATGTATAAACTCACCTCTGGTAACAGTGGCCCAGACGCTGCTTTGTGCTAAAAGCATGGGAAGTGTAAAGGCAGTCTTTCCCTGGGAAATGGATGTTACTCTATTCTGCTGCCCCTACCTGTTCCTGAGGCCTCATTTAGAAAGAAAGTCCCCTCAGAAGGCTGTCTGGCACTTAGTGTCCTAGCCAGGTCAAGTATATGAGAAAGGTAAGTTCATTTTCCCCTTCAGGTCCTCAGTGGATTACTTAACCACTGCTGTCCCTCGGTCCCTTTTTCCTAAACAGGGGTTTAGTTCTGTCTTTTTCTCCTTTTTTCTAAATGCCGGTAAATATCTACATTCAGCCAGGAAAGAGGAGGCCAGAGGTCAGGCCAGCTGCCCCCATTCTTTTAACGTTGTAGGGCCTGCCCCTGGAGTGGACCCTCCTCTTTGGGCCTCGTGAGCTTTTTTGCTTATCATGTTCCATCTCTTGCCGCTTTCCCCCTTCAAGACGCCACTTGAAGGGTAGGGGATCTGCTTCCCACTGTAACTGGGCTATGGGATGCTGACTACCTTGCTTACAGATTCATGGTTTGATAAATTTGTTGTATTCAAAAACTTGAAATGCAGGACGCCATTAAGTGTCTGTTTATATTTTTGGAATATTTGTATTACTTACAATTAATTAATAAAAGTGGTTTTAAAAACCTATCCAGGAATGTGAGCTGCCACTGACCTTCATTGGCCCTTAGGTGTTCACTGAGTCCTTAGCAATCACCGCCTTTCTTCTCGCAACCCCTTCCATCGTGAAGCAGCTGCACCCCAGGCTGAGTGGGATGTTGTACCCACCGGGAGACCAGCTGTAGATGCCACATAGGGCTTCCACTCAAGGTTACACAAGTTCTGCTGTGATCAACCCCATTGCAGTCAGGTGCTTAGCAAGCATATATGCTTGGTGTCCTGTTGACTTCTGGGCATCAACCAGAAGCCCTAAGGGAATGGAGTCTTTTGTTTTGTTTTTTTGAGATAGAGTCTTGCCCTGTTGCCCAGGCTAGAGTGCAGTGGCGTGATCTCAGCTCACTACAACCTCCACTTCCCGGGTTCAAGAGATTATCCTGCCTCAGCCTCCTGAGTATCTGGGATTACAGGCGCCCACCACCATGTGCGGTTAATTTTTGTATTTTTAGTAGAGATGGGGTTTCACCATCTTGGCCAGGCTGTTCTTGAACTCCTGACCTCGTGATCCACCCACCTCAGCCTCCTAAAGTGCTGGGATTACAGGTGTGAGCCACCACCGCACCCGGCCCTGGGAATGGAGTTGTTTTTTTTTTTTTTTTTTTTTTTTTGAGACGGAGTCTCGCTCTGTCCCCAGGCTGGAGTGCAGTGGCACAATCTTGACTCACCACAAGCTCCACCTCCCGAGCTCACACAATTCTCCTGCCTCAGCCTCCCAAGTAGCTGGGACTACACGCACCCGCCACCACACCCAGCTAATTTTTTGTACTTTTAGTAGAGACAGGGTTTCACCATGTGAGCCAGGATGGTCTCCATCTCCTGACCTCGTGATCGCCTGCCTCGGCCCCGGAAAGTACTGGAATTACAGGCGTGAGCCACCGCGCCAAGCCTGGGAACGGAGTCTTGATTCTTCTCTGCCCCTGATTCTTCTAAACTGGGAACTCTGAAGCTGAGAGTCCAGCATGGTTCCTGGCAAACAGTAGGCACTCAAATATTGATTGGTTTACTGTATGACTAATAGAGACCCCAACAAGCAAAACTAATAAAATTCTCCTGGCTCGTCTCCCAGACTTCCCCTCCCTTTGAGAAATGCCAGAAGCTTCTTCGGGAGGCTCTTGCCAGCCTAGACATCACAGGCACACATGGGGCAGCTCCAGCCTCTGCCTCCTGTCATCACCATAATGCATCCATATCTACAATATGGCAAATTTCATATCCTTCCAACCTCTTTCCTGCATTATTGATGGGCTGTGTGCACTTTTTAAAAAATCAATTAGATCAGGGCGTGGAGCTGGAGTTAAAAGAAGCCTTTAAAAGTCTGCTCTTCTTGTTTTGCTGTTTTGAATAGGCACGGATAAAGCTTTCCCTCTGGTTTGAATAAGTCAAGCTCAGTGCTAGGTTGGCTCTGATTGGCCAGGACTAGGAAAACGCAGTTAAGATGCAAACACAAGCAAATATAACCCAGTGTCTCTGCGGCCATTACTAAGCTAAGGCAGCGGACCCGGAGCCTCCTGCTTTGGAGTGGTTCTTCAATACTGCTGTTGCTGCTTACTCGCCAGGAAACAACTGGGAAAGCTGGTGAGCGAGAAGGCAAGGTAAGGTCTCTGATTTATGGGGGCATGCCAGTTAATCCTCCTGAATGAGGAATAAATGAAAGGAACAGGAGCTTGAGATTCCCTTGGCTTTGTCCTCTGAGATGAGACTTAAAATGAACCAAGAGTCTCGCCAGTTTTGCAAACTTCTTGTTGAGAAGTAGAAGCCCTTAGAGGCAGCTGAACATATAGGGCACATTTTCAAAAGCTGGGAAAGACAGACCCCTTTCACCTATCCTCAGAGAAAAATGGTATGGAGCAAGGCAGGAGGAGTTAAAACCAGCTTCCTGGCCCAGAGAAGTGGCTCATACCTGTAATCCCAACACTTTGGGAAGCCAGGGCATGAGGATTGTTTGAGCCCAGGAATTTGTAACTTGTGACCATCCTGGGCAACATAGTGAGACCCTGTCTCTACAAAAAATAATAAAATAGCCAGGCATGGTGGTGCACACCTGTGGTCTCACCTTCTCAGGAGGCTGAGGCAGAAGGATCACTTAAGCCCAGGAGGTGGAGGTTGCAGTGAGCTGTGATCGTACCACTGCACTCCAGCCTGGGTGACAGAGCAAGACCCTGTCTCAAAAACAACAAAAGCAGCTTCCTCTGCTCAGGGTCCATCCATAAGGGCATCTCTGAGAATTAAAGGCCACTGGCTTTTAACCTCAAAACTGTGCCCCCCACCCAAGGGGTTTCTGTAGTCCCCTCAAAGAACACTGAATTAGGATTTAGGGAGGAGAAAAGGAGAGACGCAGCTTTGGGAGACTTTGATGTTAGAACTGTGTTTTCTGTGTGTTCCAGTGTGGCAGGAAGTCCCTTCCTGGAGTTTATCCTCTCGCATTCCGGGTGCCCAGCCCAGTGAGCTCCTTGATTCCTAAATTCCTGCTGGGAAACGGGACAGGTTTCAGCCTCTGAGGCTCACAGTCCTAACTGCTGCCGGCTGGTTTGGCTTTTACCAGGGTGACAGTTCTGTCTCCAAGGAATAAATTCACTGGCCTTTGTCCCCTTCCCCCAATTGGCTCATGGCTTTTGCCTTTAATGACTGCTACATAGGGTCTGAAGAAAACCCAAACACCATATTTCCTGGCAATTCTGAGAAGCACAGGGTGGGGCAGCACAAGTTATCAAATTAAATTCTCAAACACTGGCTGCTCTGCACCATTGCCTTGCTTTAGTCCTGTTATAGCAGTAGACAAAGGGAGTTTGCTTTGTGCTTTATGGTTTTTTGCCAATGTCCATACTAGATGGCGCATGTTCTCCAACTTGGCTTTGTCCATCAAGGTTCAAGAAAACAATGGTCAGACATGTTCCTCTTAACAAGCACAGTATGTCCCCAAATAGCAAAAATCCATACAGTCCTTTCTGGGTGAATTTTTAAATCTTATGTAAATCCATCAACCCCATCCTTTTTCCTTTGCCTGTCAGGAGAAATTCATCTAGCTTTACATTAATTATGCACGTTATCAGATTTCAAGCTCCTTGAGAGCAGGTATTTTAATTCTATAAAGCCTCTACGTGACCTTGGACATGGGTAGGTGCTTAATTACTCAAGATGCTCCTTGAATACAGACGGTACACGACCCACACAGACTTAGATCTTTACCACTTCCTCCCTCTCCCCACCCTGACTTGCCCAATCCTGAAGGAACTGGAGACGTCTAAGTGTCTGAGGTTCACACTTCCACAGAGAAGCTTGGGTCTGTGTGGGAGGGAGAAAGGAAGCCATCTGTCCACAGGCCAGACCAGGCCACACCCTGCTGGCACCCAGAACCCTTTGTCCCAGGCCCAGCCCTGTCATTTTACTTTCCTTTGTATCTGGAAAGCACAGGAAATATAGTAGTCATATGACAAAAGAAGGAAGGGTTGTTTGAGTTTTAGAATAGTTTACTCAAAAAAAAAAAAAAAAACATAAAAGCCAAAGAGAAGGTCAAAGTTGACTGTGGAGAAGGCCTTGCAAGCAGGGAACTTGGGAAGAATTAGAGGGAATGAGTGAGAGAAGGCAACTGAGTTTCGAAGTATTTTTTCTGACTACCTTTTCTTTCCAAATGCCACTGAACTTAGATTGGTTTAGAAAGGGTTGTAGTACATCAAAGTGGCTAGAAGCATAGGTTTGGGGATCAGATAAGGATTTCATTCTAGAGTGTGATCTTGTACAAGTTATTCAGCCTTTCTAAACCTCAAATTCACACAACGTAAGATGAAGAAAATCACCTTCTGAAAATTAGAGATAACATACGCAAAGTGAATCAATACAGGGCTTAACATATTTATCACCCCTTTGGTAAATAATCACGACAATTACCAGAGTTGTTAAGGGCAGTGGCAGGTGAGAAGCAGAACTCATGGGTGGTAATCCCTGGGCCAGCCAGGCTGACCATGTGCACCTGGACGGACAAGTCCTTGACCCCATCATTGTGAAATGGTGCAGGGATGCACCACGAGGGTGTGGCAAGATGGCTGACAACAGACTGGGAAGCAACTCAGCAGAAAAACTGGATTGATGCCCATTATGGCGAGAGGCATCACCTCCCTGTGTTCTGTGATGTTTCAGTCTTGGAAAGACAAGCACCATGTCTCTGACCAGTGCCTTCAGGGCTGTGGACAATGACCCTGGGATCATCGTCTGGAGAATAGAGGTGAGGTGGGCTGGAGGCACCTTACTTGTGACTACTGGAGTCTGGAAGCAGAGTCTGGCTGCCTGGGGCTGCTAGGCAACAGCCCGCCAGCACCCCTTAGCCTATGGTTTGAGGAGAATGAGAGGCAGCATCAAAGTACCTATTTCCCATCCTTTACCTCTCGTGGGTGCTCAAAGCAGGTGGCTGGCAGGTGGAGGAAATGTTCAGACCCGAAGAGCAGGGCTCCAGGCAAAAACAAGCTTGTCCTTTAGCCAGCCACCTGCTCAGTGAGTCTGCACTCGCAGGAAATACCCTGGAAAGACAGGTGGGACCTACTCAGCAGATTCCTGGCAGCTTCCATCAGAGAAATGGAACATGTCTTCCACAGGGCACCCTGGCTCCTACAAAATATGGGGAGAGGTGAGGGGGCACTGCAGAGATGAGGCACTGTTCAGCCCATCTCCTCTTGGGCTTGGGCCACTCTGTGTTGCTCTGACCTCCAGCAATCCATAGCTGGGAACTACCCTGGCCTGGGTAGCTCCACCTGCCAGATATGAAGATTCCCCCTAACCCCCGCCCCGAGCCCAGTCAGTTGCTGCTGCATAAAACCCAGAGGTAATGCCTCACTTCACTATTCTCAACCAGGAGGGGGAGTCAGCTCTCCAGCAAGCCTCGCAGAGATTGTGAGGCCCAGGTCACTTCCATTGTTTTAAGGCTTCCAGTTTCCTTAAAAACTAACAGGTACTGGCCGGGTGCAGTGGTTTACGCCTGTAATCCCAGCACTTTGGGAGGCCGAGGCGGGCAGATCACAAGTTCAGGAGATCGAGACCATTCTGGCTAACACTGTGAAACCCCGCCTCTACTACAAATACAAAAACTTAGCTGGGCGTGGTAGTCCCAGCTACTTGGGAGGCTGAGGCAGGAGAATGGCGTGAACTCAGGAGGTGGAGCTTGCAGTGAGTCGAGATAGCGCCACTGCACTCCAGCCTGGGCGACAAAGAGAGACTCCATCTCAAAACAAACAAACAAAAATAACAGGTACTAAAACACGGTTACCAGAATTGCAGTATATTTAACATTTAACACATTTCACATAGAACACACACAAGTATGGCTGCAAGTTTCCCTCACTTGGAGAGTGTGATGAAAATCTACATGAAGGCTGTGTGAACAGTCCTCCAGGGCCAAGCCATACATGCAGTGACAAATCAGGGCCCTGACCCAGACTCCAAATATAAGACACTTGGCACATAGCCCTGCTGACCGCTGGCACTCTCCAAATGTTATCCTCCACCTCCCACGGCCCCTCAGAATCCAAGTGTTCTTTCCTACATGGGCCTGGTCCAGCACCCTGTGGTCAGCATTGGGAAGAGCATTGGAGGTTCTGGCACAACAGCTCAGAGAAGGGTTTGTACTTGGTCGTTTATATCCAGCAAAGGGCTGGAGGTGGCTCACAGGCTTCCCACAATAGTGTGAGATGAGATCGGGTGGGAAGTGGAGAGAATAGGGCGAGGGAAAGCAGGATAGGGACCAGATTCAGATCCAGGGTGATGCAAGCAGAGCTCACAGAAGCCAGAGGAGTGGCTACATTAACCCTGTGGCTGGCTGCCTCACGTCCTATAAGTTCATTGGGAACATCTCCCTTCCTTCTCCCCACCACCTGCACCAAATGACAGAGAGGAGAGGGAGGCTCGTGGGGAAGGGAGGTGGGAGGGGATGTAGCCTATACCCACCCCTTGTCCTTCCAGAAAATGGAGCTGGCGCTGGTGCCTGTGAGAGCCCATGGCAACTTCTATGAGGGGGACTGCTATGTCATCCTCTCGGTGAGCACCCTCCTCCTCCTCCCCACTCCTGTGAGCTTCTCCCCTGGGGCCAGTTCTTGGGCTCTACTAGGAGATGTGCTGGTGAGGGAAGATAGTCCCTGGTATCGGTCTCAATGGTTCCTCAGTGCTATGCAGCAGATCTCCAGTCTATCAAAGGCCATCATTAGGCCTGGGTTTTTAATTCTGCATCAGAGGATGGGGGTATGAACCTCAGTCTGAACCTCAGTGAGCCACCCACAAGCAGCACTTCTCCCAGGCCTAGGTCCCACATTAAAGTGGTGTGGAAGCAAGCCAGATAAATGCAAGGCCTGTCTCTAGCCTCAAAGTGCTGATTCTCATGGAGGAGACTCACATGAATGGTGCTGACAGGGCCGTGCAGGTGTACAGATCAGCACTGTGCCAGCTGTGTGAGTGTAAGGGACCAACAGGACCTGTGAGGTAAGCCTGCAACCTGGCTGGGAAAAGATCCCCGTTGGTCTCTATTTATTTGGGGAACAACAAGCTGTCAACTTTACCCAGATGTGGGGAGGAATTTGGACTGCCAAAGCTTATGCCATGATCGCAGGTCTGCTCGGGGGCCAGGGCAGCTCCTGCATCCACCGCAGGAGAGAGGGCCCTCAGTCTGCCAAGGGCAGGCACATGTGCTGCATTCTCCCCATGACAGAGGGGCCACCAGCAAAGGGGGAGGTGAGCTGGCCCCTGACCTGATCTCTCTGACTACATCCCAGACCCGGAGAGTGGCCAGTCTGCTATCCCAGGACATCCACTTCTGGATCGGGAAGAACTCCTCCCAGGATGAGCAGAGCTGTGCAGCCATCTACACCACACAGCTGGACGACTACCTGGGAGGCAGCCCTGTGCAGCACCGAGAGGTCCAGTACCATGAGTCAGACACCTTCCGTGGCTACTTCAAGCAGGGCATCATGTGAGTAGGGGTGCACAGAGTAAGGACAGAAACAGCAGTTTACAGAGGAGGAAACCCAAAAGGCCAACATGCATATCAAGAAAGTAATCAGAGAAATGCAAATCAAAACAAAGCTGTCACTTCCACCCACTAGAGTAGCAAATTAAACAGCTGGGAGGTGACAAGTGTTGGCAAGGCTATGGGGAAATAGGAGCCCTTGTGCCCTGCTGATGGAAGTATAGACTAGTGCAGCATCCTGGAGAGTAGTCAGTGCCACTTGCAAATTGCACTTCTGCGTGTGTAACTCACAGAAATCCTCACGTATCCATGTCCATAAGGGCACATGGACCACACTGTTCACAGCAGCCTCATTAATGATGTTAGGAAGCTGCAGGCAACATAGGTGTCCATAACCGGGAGACAGGACACCATGGAGTATTATGCAGTAGCCAGAAGCAACAGATTAGATACATGCCTAACACAAGGACAGAGCTCACAAACATGGTGCTTAGCACACAAAGTAAGAAACAGACTAAGACATATAACAGAATGCCAATTTCTGTTTTAAAAAGCACATGCATGGACGGGCGTGGTGGCTCATGCCTGTAATCCCAGCACTTTGGGAGGCCAAGGCAGGCAGATCACAAGGTCAGGAATTCAAGACCAGCCTGGTCAACATGGTGAAACCCTGTCTCTACTAAAAATACAAAAATTAGCCGGGTGTGGTGGCGCATACCTGTAACGCCAGATACTCGAGAGGCTGAGGCAGGAGAATCACTTGAACCCAGGAGGTGGAGGTTGCAGTGAGCTGAGATCACGCCACTGCCCTCCAGTCCCGTGACAGAGCAAGACACCATCTCAAACAAAACAAAACAAAACCATGCACACAAAACAACATGACAGGTTGGGCATGGTGGCTCACGCCTGTAATCCCAGCACTTTGTGAGGCTGAGGCAGGAGGATCGCTTAAGCCCAAGAGTTCAAGACCAGCCTAGGTAACATAGTGAGATTCCCCATCTCTACAAAAAAATACTTTGTAAAACAGCTAGCCAGGCATGGTGGTGCACTCCTATAGTCCTAGCTACTCCATGGGCTGAGGGTATCGAGCCCTCAGTTATCGAGCCTGCAGTCCCTGATGAGGATCACTTAAGCCCCGGAGGTCAAGGCTGCAATGAGCCATGATTGCACTACTGAACTCTAGCCCGGGTGACAGAGTGAGACCCTGTCTTTAAAAAAAAAGGGGGGGGGGGGGCGAGGCACAGTTTACTAGAATGAAAATAAAAAGGCCAACAGTTAGAATGGAAGCGTATGGGGAAAGGAATGGGAGTAGGGCAAGCAGGTAAAGGGAATGCACAGACACCTAACACACAAGAGAGGGAGTGAAGGCCGACGATAATGTTCCATCAACTGAGAAGTTTAACTCAAAACTTTGCCCCTGATATTTTTTTTTTTTTTTTTTTTTTTTTGAGACGGAGTCTCGCTTTGTCACCCAGGCTGGAGTGCAGTGGCGCAATCTCGGCTCACTGCAAGCTCCGCCTCCCGGGTTCACGCCATTCTCCTGCCTCAGCCTCCCTGCCCCTGATATTAAAACAAAAAGAGGAATTCCAATGAGCTTGAGAATTGTGAGGCCGGGCCAAGATCAGCTTCTTGCAGGTCAGCAGTCTCTACTGACTGAGGCCCTTCTGGGCACAGAGGACCACACTGAGCCAGTGGGGAACCCAAGGACAAAGCCCCTCTGCTCCAGGGCTACCTTCTGCATTCCTTTCAAGTGCAGGACACCTGGCTCGGAGGTTGGGCTGGACTGAGTGCCAGGGCGGGCGAGCTGATTCCTAGGGTAGGTGGTCTTAAGGCTGTGGAGTCATTAATGCTTCTGCTGCGGCCCAACTTGTACCCCTCTCCCAGTGACACACTGGCATTCAGACAGTTCCTGGAACAAAACAAGCCCTCTGTGCAGGGGGTCTTCGTCACTGATGTCTCCTCTGCCTGGAGCACTATTCCTCTGGGTATTGGTTCATTTTCCTTGTAGTATCTCAGCTCAAATGTCACTTCTTCAGAGAAGACTGTCCCGACTCACTACCAGAAAGTCACTCACCCAGCCTACTTGTGGGGCAGCAGCTGTCACCATCTGTATTCACCTTGCTTGATGTACTGTCATCATCACACGAGTGAGGCTGCATCTGTGTAATTCACCACTGTCTCCCCAGAACCTAGCACATAGCAGGCACTCAAATAACTGAATGGATGTTCCCTTAGCTACAAGAAGGGGGGTGTCGCCTCTGGGATGAAGCACGTGGAGACCAACACCTACAACGTGAAGCGGCTGCTACATGTGAAGGGGAAAAGAAACATCAGGGCCACCGAGGTTAGTCCTGCACACTGTCTGCCCCGGGCCCAAGATTTCTCTACCTGGCACCTAAGAATTCCTCCTGGACAATGTTTACCTCTCATCGACAGGTGGAAATGAGCTGGGACAGTTTCAACCGAGGTGATGTCTTCTTGCTGGACCTTGGGAAAGTCATCATCCAATGGAATGGCCCAGAGAGCAACAGTGGGGAGCGCCTGAAGGTATGGCTTCCTAGCCTTAGCACTCTCTCAAGTTCCTCTTTCTTCTTCCCTCCATGCTGGCTCTTTCCCAAGAATCAAGGTGGAGCCTTGCCTTTGAGTAGAATCTGTCTTGGAGAGAGGCCAAGTGTGTGAGTTTGTGACTCACCCTGGACTCCTCAACATCCGAGTAACTCCTGTGTCTGAGATCTAGGCTGTTCTCCCCAAAGACATCAGGCAGAAAGGGGTCCCAGAGGAGCTGAGGACTCCCTTGGGCTTCTCTGACAGGCTATGCTTCTGGCAAAGGATATTCGAGACAGGGAGAGAGGAGGCCGTGCTGAAATAGGAGTGATCGAGGGAGACAAGGAGGCAGCCAGCTCAGAGCTGATGAAGGTCCTTCAGGACACCCTTGGCCGACGCTCCATTATCAAGCCTGCAGTCCCTGATGAGATCATAGATCAGCAGCAGAAATCAAATATCATGTTGTATCAGTGAGTAACCAAACCTGGCTTTAGCTGGAAGCTGCGGTCGGGGGGAAGGTGTCCCCTAGAACATCAGCCACCTCCGCTTGGCTCCTTGTTTTGGGTGTAGTCATCTGGTTTTCTTCTTAGTCCTTTTCAAATGCAGCTCCTAGAAAGCTTGGAGATCCCCCGCTCAAGGAGGCAGTTGTTCTTGTTAGCAACTCTCCTATCTCTTGAGGAGACCTTTCCTTTACTCTGGCCTACACACGCCCAGGGATGTGGAAGGAATAATGTTTAGGACAGAGATGAACAAAAGTCTCCACCAAAGAAAAGAGTCTGCACATTCCTGTCCTCCCATGACTGTCTTATTAGGAAGTCACACTCTACCCAGAAACTCCAAACTAAAACCAAACCAGAACAACATCTAGTTGACTATAAGATGCTTTACAGAGGAAAAGGCACAGGCTAATCTCTCCCCTTCTCCAGTGTCTCAGATTCACCTGGGCAGCTGGCAGTCACAGAGGTAGCAAAGAGGCCTCTGGTCCAGGACTTACTGAACCATGATGTAAGTAGAGTTTGGGTGGCCTTAGCTTGGGGTAGCCAGACCTGCTTCAGAAGCAGACTCTAAGCAAAATCTTCCTTCTGGTCTTAAGCAACCATACCTATCTCTGGCTGCTTTAGGACTGCTACATCCTGGACCAAAGTGGAACCAAAATCTACGTGTGGAAAGGAAAAGGAGCCACAAAGGCTGAAAAACAGGCAGCCATGTCTAAAGCGCTGGTAGGAGCTACAGATGTGCAATACTGTTCAAATAATTCTGCTAAGAGCACTTCAGGTGTGTCACTTCACAGAGTCATGCTAGGTATGTGAGCATATAACATTGTGCTTACATACATGGACTGCAAAGTCAGGCAGACAAACTGGGATTCAAATCCAGGTTTTGCCTTTTCCAGCTGAGTGCTCTGGGGAAGACTACTTAACACCTCTGGGCCTCAGTTTCCCCATATCTAACATGGAATCATACCCATCTCCTAGGGTTATTGTGAGGATTAAATATCATTTGTAAAGCACTCAAGGCTGGGCGTGATGGCTCACGCCTGTAATCCCAGCACTTTGGGAGGCCGAGGCAGGCGGATCCCCTGAGTTCGGGAGTTCAAGACCAGCCTGACCAACATGGAGAAACCTGTCTCTACTAAAGGTACAAAACAAAATTATCCAGGCATGGTGGCGCATGCCAGTAGTCCGGGCTACCTGGCGGGGCTGAGACAGGAGAATCACTTGAACCCGGGAGGCAGAGGTTGCAGTGAGCTGAGATCATGCCACTGCATTCCAGCCTAGGTGAAAGTGAGACCCTGTCTCAAAAAAAAAAAAAGCACTCAGAACAGTTCTTGGCACACAGCACCTGCTGAATAAAAGGTGGCTGTTATTATTGAAGGAGATATCACATATCAAGGTTAATAGCCCTGTCCTCAAGGAGCTTATATTTGTGCAGATTCATGCAGATGAACCAAGCAAGATGCACTTACAAAGCAATAAATGAGCAAACGGATGTGATGCAAAGTCAGTAAGTACAAAAGTACTGAAAGAACACAGCATAATCTTCCAAAAAATTAACAATCATAATCACTGCAAGTCAATAAAGAGATCCAAAAATGTTCCACTCATTTTCTTTAGGCAGGTACCTTGGTCCTTAGATAGAAGTGAGTTCGAATTTGACTGACTCCCAGAGGGGAGACTCTTATCATGTGGCTTCAAAGAGGTGAATTACCAGACAAGCAAAGAACTCAGTGTAATCCACAACTGACATGCCTTTGGGAATGGGTGGCTCTGCAGGGCTTCATCAAGATGAAGGGCTACCCCAGCAGCACCAATGTGGAGACTGTCAACGATGGTGCTGAGTCGGCCATGTTCAAGCAGCTGTTCCAGAAGTGGTCAGTAAAGGACCAGACCATGGGCCTGGGGAAAACGTTCAGCATTGGTAAAATTGGTGAGATTGCCCTCAGATCATCCTCTCACTGCTGGGTCCCTAGAATGGCAGGCACAGATGCTTCTTACTCACTCAGCTTTTCCCAACCCTTTCTCCACAGCTAAAGTTTTCCAGGATAAATTTGATGTGACTCTGCTACACACCAAGCCAGAGGTAGCTGCCCAGGAAAGAATGGTTGATGATGGCAGCGGAAAAGTTGAGGTAAGCCTAATCATTCAAATATCAGGGCAGGCAGCACTGGCCTTCCTGGCTGTCCTGCTAGGGGCAGGGGTGCAGGTGATTCAGAGTCTGCTTTGCTTTCCCTTTCCCCTCCAGCACCTCAGGAGTCTTCTCTAAGGGTCTTGTGGGTCTGTAGAGTTTTCAGGGGAAAGAGACACACATCCTCAAATGTGCTATCAATATCTCACCTGGAAGATCTATTCAAATCATCGCTCGGCCTTACAAAGACCGAGCCATGATGGGATGCTCCTGACTAGGATGGCCCAGTTCATCTCAGGATTCAAATCATGCAAATGTGATGAGTCCTCAGCACTGGGACAGAACCAGAGGGAGAAAGAGAACATGGAGTAAATGTCAGCACCTTCCCCACTTGGATTCTCCCTTTAGCGTAGCCTAGCCCTTCCCAGCCCCCTATCTCTGGAAAACGGTGTCTCCTTCCATGCCCAGGTCTGGAGAATTGAGAACCTGGAGCTGGTCCCTGTGGAATATCAATGGTATGGCTTCTTTTATGGGGGAGATTGTTATCTGGTCCTCTACACATACGAGGTGAACGGGAAGCCACATCACATCTTATACATCTGGCAGGTAGGCCTGGCACAGGCTTCAGCTTTGGATCCTGATGCGTCCTCTGGCCACTGGGCTGCGGCGGGGAGCATGGGTCCTTCATGGTCTCTCACCACTGCAGGGCCGCCACGCCTCACAGGACGAGCTGGCAGCCTCAGCATACCAGGCAGTGGAGGTGGATCGGCAGTTTGACGGGGCCGCTGTGCAGGTTCGAGTCAGGATGGGGACGGAGCCACGCCACTTCATGGCCATCTTCAAAGGGAAGCTAGTTATCTTTGAGGTGAGGATGCTCTGATAAAATTACACCATGAGCTGGAACGTTCCAAACTAACAAACCAGCATGGGACTATTGGCGAGCAGAGGAGGGGTCGGGTAGGGAGTCAGGCTTGGATTAGACAGAGGAAGAAGGGGGTTAATCCCTCTAAGACAGTCAAGTGAATCCCAACCGCCTAGGGCTTCAAGTCTGAACCACTATCTAAATTATGTTCAAGGTCTTTCATAACCTGACCCATATTACCTATGCAGGTGCACCACCCTCAGCTCCCTAACCTGCAGCCTCCACTCCAGTCGAGTGGGTCTCCTCATTAGACCTCACATGTGCCACACCATACCCCTCCTGCTGCAGATGTGCCCTTTCAAATTCAAGTCCCACTTCTTCCATGAAGCCCTGGCTGAAGCACTACCAAGCAATGCATAATGTCACATGCTTGATATCACACAAGTTTGGGATCAAGTCTTAACCTTGTATTTACTAGTCAGGTTTCCAAGTCTCAGTTTCCTCATCTATACTGTGGAATAATAACATCTACTTCATAGAGTTATAAGGATCAATGAAATGATGTAGGTAAGGCACCAGTCACAGAGCCCGGCATATGATAAAGTTCTCAGAATGAAAGCTGTTGTTATTGGTACCATAACTCCAGCTCACCCTGACCCTTTCCAGTGAGCCTAGAAGCTCCTCAAGGGCAAACATAGTATTACAACATTCACGTTTCCCACAACAGCTCCTCTAGTGCTCTGCTCACATGGTGCTCCTCAGATCTGGACTCTGCTTTTCTTCTCTCTAGGGTGGGACTTCCAGGAAGGGAAATGCTGAGCCCGACCCTCCGGTAAGACTCTTCCAAATTCATGGAAATGACAAATCTAACACCAAAGCAGTGGAGGTTCCAGCCTTTGCCTCCTCCCTAAACTCCAATGATGTCTTTCTGCTGCGAACTCAGGCAGAACACTACCTGTGGTATGGCAAGGTAGGATGGGCCCAGGGGTCAGACCAGCCCCTGGGAGCCCAGACCTGCAGTCCCCTCCTCCTGTCAGCAAGGTCAAAGGACCTAGAGTAGGTTGGAGTGCTAGCTTCGGCAGCACATAACTGAAATTGGAACGATACAGAGAAGATTAGCATGGTCCCTGTGCCAGGATGGCATGCAAATTCGTGAAGCGTTCCATATTGAGGGGGAAAAAAAAAAAGCGGGGTGCAGTGGCTCATTCCTGTAATCCCAGCACTTTGGGAGGCTGAGGCAGGCAGACCATGAGGTCAGGAGTTCGAGACCAGCCTGGCCAGCATGGTGAAACCCCATCTCTACTAAAAATACAAAAATTAGCCGGGTGTGGTGGTACGCACCTATAGTCCCAGCTGCCCGGGAGGCTGAGGCAGAAGAATCGTGAACTGGTTGGGGGCAGAGGTTGCAGTGAGCCAAGATTGTACCACTACACTCCAGCCTGGGCAACAGAGTGAGACTCCACCTCAAAAAAAAAAAAAAAGGGTAGGCTGGAGCAGTCCTCAAAAAGAGAAGCCTTTTTCCTAAGGAATCTTCAAAGGGATCACCAACATTCTCCACAATCAGACTCCAATTAGAAACTCACTGAAGGCTGGGCACGGTGGCTCATGCCTATAAACCTAGCACTTTGGGAGGCCGAGGTGGGCTGATCACCTGAGGTCGGGAGTTCAAGACTAGCCTGACCAACATGGAAAAACCCGTCTCTACTAAAAATACAAAATTAGCCGGGGTGGTGGCACATGCCTGTAATCCCAGCTACTCGGGAGGCTGAGGAAGGAGAATTGCTTGAACCCAGGCTGCGGTGAGCCGACATTGCGCCACTGCACTCCAGCCTGGGCAACAAGAGTGAAACTCCATCTCAAAAAAAAAAAAAAAAAAGAAAAGAAAAAGAAAAAAAAAAGAAACTCACTGAAAACCCTGCTTACACCTAGCAGAAATCTCATAAACTTCTACGCAGATGGAGGCTGGATAAGTCAATCTTCCCATATGAGTTTGGTGGACTCTAACAGACAGGCACTAATACAGAACAAAAACACAAAATATTACATCAATTCATATTGCAACAGTGGATTAAAATGCACTAAGGCCGGGCACGGTGGCTCACACCTGTAATCCCAGCACTTTGGGAGGCTGAGGCAGGCAGATCACCTGAGGTCAGGAGTTTGAGACCAGCCTGGCCTGCATGGTGAAACCCCGCCTTTATTAAAAATACAAAACATTAGCTGGGCGTGGTGGTGTGTGCCTGTAGTCCCAGCTACTCCGGAGGCTGAGGCAGGAGAATTGCTCGAACCCAGCAGGTGGAGGTTGCAGTGAGCCAAGATCGCGCCACTGTACTCCAGCCTGGCCAACAGAGCAAGACTCCCTCTCAAAATAAAATAAAATGCACTAAAATTGTTTTACAAAAAAGAATTGAATAGGAAAAGATGCTTAACATCATTAGTCGCTAGGGAGATGCAAATCAAAATCACAATGAGATAACCACTACACATCTATTAGAATGGCTAAAAAAAAATGACAACATAAAATGTGAGCAAGGATGCAGAGCAACAGGAATTTTCATGCATTGCTGGCAGGACTGCAAAATGGTACAGCTTTTGGAAAACATTTCGCCAGTTTCAATTTTTTTTTTTTTAAAGAGTCTCGTTCTGTCAGCCAGGCTGGAGTGCAGTGATGCAATCTTAGCTCACTGCAACCTCTGCCTCTTGGGTTCAAGTGATTCTCCTACCTCAGCCTCCCAAGTAGCTGGAATTACAGGTGTGTGCCACACACTAAGCTAACTGTTGTATTTTCAGTAGAGACAAGGTTTTGCCATGTTGCCCAGGCTGGTCTCGAACTCCTGACCTCAGGTGATCCACCTGCTTCAGCCTCCCAAAGTGCTGGGATTACAGTGGGGAGTCACCACGCCCAGCTGACAGTTTCTTACAAAGTTATACATACACTTACCATATGATCTAGCAATCCTATTCCTGGGTATTTACTCAAGTAAAATAAAAAACTATCTTCACACAAAAACCTGCGCACAAATGTTTATAGCACCTTTATTCATTAGCGGAAAAAACCCAACTGGAAAATGGATAAACAAACAGTAGTACATCCACATGATGGAATACTACTCAGCAATAAAAAGGGATGAGCCGCTGGTAAACACAACAGAGATCTCAAATGCATTCTGCTAAGAGAAAGAAGCCAGACTCAAAGGCTAAATATCGTATGACTCCACTTATAGCATTCTGGAAAAGGCAAAACCATAGTGATGGAGAACAGAGTCATGGTTACCGGAGGTTAAGATTCACAGAGGCTTTGACTCCAAAGGGGTCACGGCCCCAGATAATTTTGGGAGGGCCTGAGGAAGAAACTGTTCTGTGCCTTTATTGTAGTGACAATAACGTGATTCTGTTTGTCAAAATTCTTAGAATTGTATGTCAAAAGAGTATATTTTACTGTATGTACTTTTAAAAATAAATTTAATTTTTTTCTCTAAAAAAAAAAAAACAAAAGTAGGTACTTAAATTCCAACTGAAGCTGAAACGAAGGTGACTTTTGCCAACACCCACTGTGGGTTTCAAAGCCTAGTCCTGCCTTTTGCCCCACACTGTTTTCCTCCCCACTCCCCAGCACTAGAACAAACTTGTCTGTCTTCCCAGGCTGAGGGACTGTGGCTTGGTAGCTGATCCTGGCACACTGAGTTACTAGTCTCAGATGCTTTTCTTTCCACGTCAAAGTGCCCCTGTGCAACTAACACTTGTGCTCTCCTCGCCCCACACTCAGGGGTCTAGTGGGGATGAGCGGGCAATGGCTAAGGAGCTGGCCAGCCTTCTCTGTGATGGCAGCGAGAACACTGTGGCCGAGGGCCAGGAGTCCGCCGAGTTCTGGGACCTACTGGGAGGCAAAACTCCCTATGCCAGTGATAAAAGGTATGGGAACACAGCCTCCTCCTCTTCTGGGCTCCCCCTGCCTGCCAGGCTTATGAATTGCACAAAGGCTAAAACCTCAGTTTTAAAAACATTTCTAAGCAGCTTGGTGCCCTTAAATGGACTGTATTGCAGACTTCAGCAGGAAATTCTAGATGTCCAGTCCCGTCTCTTTGAATGTTCCAATAAGACTGGCCAATTCATTGTCACTGAGATCACAGACTTCACCCAGGATGACCTGAACCCCGGTGACGTGATGCTCCTAGATACCTGGGACCAGGTAAGACACAGCTGCGGAACTCAGAACATGACAAAGACTCCCATAGTAAGGGTTGTTTTTGTGTAGTATCCCCACCCTAGATAAACCCAGGGTAGCCCTGGACCATCCCCAGCTCAATCAAACCTCTGTCAGCAGTAACCAAAAGAAAGCCTCCGTTTTTTTGCAAGGGGTGATGTTTGAGAATGATGTTTGAAATTCACCATCCTGGGCATTTTCCCACCTTGCTTTGGAAAAATCAAGTCATCCTATCATCATGCACTTTTTAATCTTAGGATCAATAGCAACGGACTCCACATGCAGAGGATATGGGCGTTTGGGGGAACAACAGCAGTCAGTAGCCTATTGTCATAGTCACGTAAGAGCTACTGTGGGTCCACATAAGGGCAGTGGAGTAGGGATGGAGGGATGGTGACAGATTTGACAGATGCTTAGGAGGTAAAGTTGGTCAGCCTGGTAACTCATTGGATATGGGGGTTTCTAGGAAACTCCCAGGTTTCTGCCTTAGGTGACTAGATGGATACCACCTATCAGAAGTGGAGACTCAGATACAAGTTTAGTAAAGAAGAGCTACATCTTGAGGGTGTTATTTTTTTTTTTTTTTTTTTTTTGAGACAGTCTCGCTCTGTCGCCGGGGCTGGAGTGCAGTGGCCGGATCTCAGCTCACTGCAAGCTCCGCCTCCCGGGTTCATGCCATTCTCCTGCCTCAGCCTCCCGAGTAGCTGGGACTACAGGCGCCCGCCACCTCGCCCGGCTAGTTTTTTTGTAGTTTTAGTAGAGACGGGGTTTCACCGTGTTAGCCAGGATGGTCTCGATCTTCTGACCTCGTGATCCACCCGTCTCAGCCTCCCAAAGTGCTGGGATTACAGGCTTGAGCCACCGCGCCCGGCCGAGGGTGTTATTTTTAAGGTGCTTAGAGCAGTCAAGAGGAGGTGTTCTGCAAGAAGTTGGATTCGGGAAGCTGAAGTTCAGAGACAGCTCCGATTTGGAAAGGCAGATCTGGAAGATACACATAGCAGTTAAAATGATAAACATCAAGCTGATTCTGGGAAATCCTTTCTCTGCTGAACAAATTAGGCTGAGAAAGTTTTCTGAGGCTGTGAATTGCTCACGAAAGAAAGGGGAAAGATAGGGTAGTGTGTATGATCTAGTACTTAGTATGAACATAGTAACATATATTAAATCTCCACCATAACAGGTGTTCTTGTGGATTGGAGCTGAGGCCAATGCCACGGAGAAGAAGAGTGCCCTTGCCACAGCACAGCAGTACCTGCTCACTCACCCCAGCGGCCGAGATCCCGACACACCAATCCTGATCATTAAGCAGGGGTTTGAGCCTCCCATCTTCACAGGCTGGTTCCTAGCCTGGGACCCTAACATTTGGAGTGTAAGAAAAGAGAGTGGGGAAGCTCTTACTTCCTGCCAGGAACAGCTCACTGAGCTCAGAACAGCTCAGTGGGCAGGAAGGTGGGGTACTGCTTCACGGCTCAGTGAAACCAGGACTTCATTTCCCTACTCCTGTCCTGCTCCCTGCCTTTTTCTTTTCTCCTCTTTTTCACCTGCCACAGCAGGAAGTCCAGGTAGACAATTCACAGCAGGTCTCAGCAATAAGCAGTGTGAAGTATAAACAGTTTATAAAGTGTATCCATACACATCATCTTTTTGATCTGTACAATGATCCTGATAGCCAGTAGAAGTACTGTTCCCTATTTTATTGATAAGGAAGCTAAGAGAATGAGCTATTTGTCCAAAGTCACAGTTAATCAACAGAAAGCCAGGTTTCCTGACTCCTAATCAACTTTTTTTTTTTTTTCCAAGACAGAATTTTGCTCTTGTCACCCAGGCTGGAGTGTAATGGCACAATCTTGACTCGCTGCAACCTCCACCTCCTGGGTTCAAGTGATTCTCCTGCCTCAGCCTCCCAAGTAGCTGGGATTATAGGCATGCATCACCACGCCCAACTAATTTTTCTATTTTTAGTAGAGATGGGGTTTCACTGTGTTAGTCAGGCTGGTCTTGAACTCCTGACCTCAGGTGATCCACCTGCCTCGGCCTCCCAAAGTGCTGGGATTACAGGCATGAGCCACCGCGCCTGGCCTTCAACTGCTCTTTCTTAAATCTTATAGGGAGGACTGAGGGGTTACCATCAAAGAATGTGCATTATGTTTAAGCACCTTTCAAGCCTTCATGGACCCAAAAGGGGGGATTTTCATTTTTACTTATACTTGAAATGTCTTCTGACTCCCTGGCTCTTTTGCTTTTCCTGAAGACACAGACCAGACCTAAGATGTCCCTCCCCTATAAGAAAGACCTCATCTTGTGTTTTCTCTCCTTCTCAGGCAGGAAAATCATACGAACAATTAAAAGAAGAGCTGGGAGATGCTGCTGCTATCATGCAAATCACTGCTGTGAGTCAGGTTCGCCCTTGGGAGAAGCCAGCCACACAGGCAACTAGAGCCAAAGAGAACCCACAAATGCTACAGATGCTCATGGGCAAAACTCATGTCCTCCTTAGTATTACTAAGGAGTATTACTATAGTTGTCTGTTTTGATGTAAAAATTTTTTGTAATCAATAGAAAAGCAGGTCTGAGAGCCAAGTTCCTTATTTTCCTGACTTCCAGATTTTCAAACAGACTTGCTGCTTAAAAACAAAAATGGGGCTGGGCGCAGTGGTTCATGCCTGTAATCCCAGCACTTTGGGAGGCCAAGGCAGGTGGATCACCTAAGGTCAAGAGTTTGAGACCAGCCTGACTAATATGGTGAAACCCCATCTCTACTATATGAAAATCAGCTGGGCGTGGTGATGGGCGCCTGTAGTCCCAGCTACTCGGGAGGCTGAGACAGGTGAATTGCTTGAACCTAGGAGGCAGAGGTTGCTGTCAGCTGAGATGGCACCACTGCACTCCAGCCTGGACAACAGAGGGAGACTCCATCTCAAAAAAACAACAAAAAAAAATGAAAACTTGTTTTATTATTCAACTCTGCCATTTAGGAGAGATTAAAGTCATTGGCAGTATTTTTCAGAAATAAGCTTCTAACCCAAATGACATTTTTATTCGTTTCTGACAGTGAAGTCCACAGAAACTTAGACCATTTACCCCTATTTTAATGGTTAAAAGAAGTAGAGCCTCTGGCCAGGAATCCAGCAGTTCTTTAACCTCAGAAGGAGTGCATGGCACCAGGAGTTCAAACCTGCAATTCTGTCCTTTGTGCTCTACAAACTCAGATTCTAAAGCTAATGTTGATATAGTATCTTTAAATTATATTTAAGTAGAACTACAACCTGAAGTCATTTAAAGGCTGGAAATGCAGGGCTAAATAAAAGTACCAAGAGAAGGTATGTGATCCCAATATTCAAATGAGATTCCGGCACACCATGTATGCCAAACTGGCTATACAGGACTTGCCTTGAACTTACTGAATCACTTTTCCCAAAAACAACCCCGAAATCTGAATATTTTCTATTCCCAGATGATTCTGACATGCAGCCAGGTTTGGGGACCATTGCTCTGAAAGATGATTATAGAGGGTGAAGTGGCACAAGTCAAAATGTTAAATATTACACATTTAGAACTGTAACCATACAGACACTAAGGAGTCTTTTCCCCTGTGCCTACATTCTTATCTTACCTAGGACATGAAGAATGCAACCCTCTCCGTGAATTCTATTGACAGTGAGTCAAAATATTACCCTATAGCAGTTCTGTTGAAAAACCAGAATCAGGAGCTACCTGAGGATGTAAACCCTGCCAAAAAGGAGGTGAGTGACTGAAGAAACTGTGTCTGTTGGAAGTGGAGCTCTCCATGAGTAAATGGCCTAGGACAGTTCTGGCATGGCACGCTGTAGCCGCTCAATGGACATCTGAGCTACTCAGGAGCTCAAACCAAAAGAAACAGGGTTCTTTCTTGATTCTTTTCTCTTCACCTACATCAATCTATCAGCTAGCTTCTGTCCACTGCTCTCCATCTCTCTGCTACTAGTCTAGTGCAGCCATCTTGGACTACATACTACAATCCAACTGGTTTCCACCTGTTCCTACAATCCGTTCCCCACGCAATAGCCAAAGGGATCTTTAAAACATATGGCACTGCCCTGTTTAAAACACCTCGAATAGCTTCCCACTACATTTTAAAAAAGAACGTGAAGGCCTATACAATCTGGCCCCTGCCTAGCTCTCTGATTTCATTTCATATACCAATACCCTCATCACTCACCACCCTACAGCCAGTACAGCCGCTGCTTTGCTGTTCCTTAAACATGCTTATTCCAGCCTTTGAGCCTTTACACTTGCTAGTGCTCGTGCCTGAGAAAACATCCCTCTCCCAAATCACCACAGTGCCAGCACCTTCTCATGGTGTAGGTCTCAGCCCCAGTGTCACCTCCCCGAGGAGGCATTTCCTGACCACCCTAATACTGCTTCCCATACCTGCTCCAGTCCCTTTATACTTGTTCATTGCCTATTTCCCCCTCTAGTAATATCCTTAAAAGGAAGGACCTTTGTCTGTCTTGTTCACCATCATATTCTCAGCTTCTCAGCACCTACAACAGTGCCTAGCAGATAGCAAGCATTCTTAAGTTTCGCTTGAATGAATTAACATATTTGAGTTAAAAGAATAAATTTCTTGGCCGGGCGCGGTGGCTCACACCTGTAATCCCAGCACTTTAGGAGGCTGAGGCGGGCGGATCACAAGGTCAGGAGTTCAAGACCAGCCTGGCCAATATGGTGAAACCCCGTCTCTACTAAAAATACAAAAATTAGCAGGTGGCAGGTGCCTGTAGTCCCAGCTACTTGGAGGCTGAGGCAGGAGAACTGCTTGAACCCGGGAGGCAGAGGTTGCAGTGAGCCGAGATCGTTCCACTGCACTCCAGCCTGGGCGACAAAGCAAGACTCTGTCTCAAAAAAAAAAGAATAAATTTATTTTCCCCTTGAAGAAGTTGATTTGGGAATGGACTCTGGACTCTGGATTTCCCACAACGTCTTATCTAACCAACTCAAGTATCTGGACTACAATTTTCTTGAAAGCAGAGCCCATATATTAATAATCTTTACTTAATAATCTTTACTTGTATATAAATATTCAATAAATCATTAAGTAAATGTTTAGAAGAATTTTATGCTCAATAAGATCATGCATTTGAAAATTTCTGGGTAAAAATGGTAGTTACAGGCAGAAAACAAGGAAAACCATGGCTCAATTTAGTTCTTCATTCTGCCAAAATTTGATGTCTGTAATTCATCCTTAATACATAACCCATTTATTGCCTTCTGGCAAGAAACTGGTGCTTGCTGGCACTGTGAGAGCAGTGAATCCAGTAAGCTTCTGTCACAGGCCAAAATGGGACTCCCTGAACTGAAGAACACCTCTCCAATGAATAATTTAAATCTCTAACAGCCTTTCTGAGAAAGTCATCCTACTTCCCTCTTCAAGGATCCACCTAGAACTCCCTCTCGCTCTGACTTTCCCAACTTCTGTTGGCACTGATGTCATGTCTTCCTTCTAACTGGAAACTTTGTTTTCTCTCAGAATTACCTCTCTGAACAGGACTTTGTGTCTGTGTTTGGCATCACAAGAGGGCAATTTGCAGCTCTGCCTGGCTGGAAACAGCTGCAAATGAAGAAAGAAAAGGGGCTTTTCTAAAGCAAGAAGGCCTATATCTACTGCAAGGCCACAGAAGAGAGCAGATAGTGCCAATATCAGGAAATAATTTATCCACCAATTTCTGCCTGACATTCAGCTACTTAATTTAGATATAATAGAGTCTGAAAATCACTGTTCTCCATTTTTTCTCATCCTTGCATTCCTTCTTTGTTATATACCTAAAATGTTAACCACATAGTTTTTGGATTTTGTGGCCCTCTAGCTAAAGCCTCAGCAAGAAAGCACTAAAACTGCATAAATCTGGAGAAATCAAAAGAAAGAGAACCAAAAAACAATGCTCAAAATGTTTAATAACTTTGTTTAGCATTATACCAGGACCTAACTTTGTTTTCAATTTTAAGATCATTATTTCTAAAATCTATTTAACCTGTAAATCATTTCAAAGCATTTTTAACTTTTCAAATAAAGATACCTCTAATGAACAAATGCGGTTATTTTCAGTATTCTGGGTTTGCTTGTTATGGTAATTTTATGTTATATTGGAAGAAATGTTTCAGTACTGGGGAAGTAAAGAGGCAATGTTAAGTGACCTCTCTGGATAACCGGACTACTCTAATTTCTGTTTCTGGCACAAGAATGTCAAAATCTGCCTTACAGTTGGCCAGGAAACCTCAGTACTCACCCACCCACACATCCAAAAGAGAAACAGAGGCATGTGTTATTAATTTAATTAAATGAAGCCAGAACCAGTGTGCCTACCACTGCAGAGCACCTTCAAAGCATGCTACAGACAATCACAAAGAAGAGAACCCACAGTTTCCAGACAACTCTAGGTTCGAATCAGTAATCCCGAAGAATTCCATGTGGCAGAAGTAATATAACTAGGGAGGTTCCGAGGCAGAAGCATGGTCCACAGTATGGCAAAGCAAAAACAGAAAAGAATTCTATGTCATAAAAGGTGGAAGACAGAACATGTAAGTTAGAAATTTCAGAAACACCATAATAAATCTATGTTGAAGGGAGCAGCAGTATTGTTGATGCCTGTTCTCCAAGACACTGTCAATCACATCAATAAGGCCCGCCCGTTATTTTTGAAAGGCACAGAAAAGCTAAACCCAGTATTATGCAAACAAGGAAAAAATTATTTTTATTATATAACTATTTAATAATTTTACCCATGAAGTCTACAATCTTGTTATAACTCAAATGAAAAATACATTCTCGGTCTGAAGAGGCTTGGGAAATACTCCTTTTTGTAATGATGTCCGGAGCTAAAAATAAATATTCCTCCTGGGCCGAAAGTCTCTAGAACCTATTCAGTTTCTGCTGCCTCTTCACCTTCTCCACATTCAAACCGCACAAAGTCTACTACCGACACCCCCTGAGGCTGCACATACTGCCCCAAGGTAATGGAGGGATCCAGCAAGTATGGCTGGGACAACATCTTAGTCTCTGCCTCTCCCCCAGGCTCATCATCCAGGGAGCCAACAGAGAGGGGGGCCATGCCCACCACATGCTGCCCAAGGCGGCGGCCAATGTCTTCAAGGTTTGTTTTCTGTTCAGACGTCTCACAGATGACCAGGGCCCCATACTTCCCCAGCACCAGGTTGTGAAGTGAGGGACTCTGCATTGCTCCGTGGACATAAGAGCCAACGTAGAACCCAGATGGCACCTTCACCCATGCAGCTCGTTTAAGAGTCATGTTTTCTCCCAGTTTTCCTATTAAAAAAAGCAAAAACAAAAAACCAAACACACCAACAAATTGTGATGTCTGTGATGGTACCAAAATAAGAACAGAAGAGGCCCAGTTTGGAAGACAGTCCCTTTGCATTTACACAGGATATGCAGTAAGATGAAAAGACATCATTTTCAGTTTTTGTATAAAGAGGAAAAGGGGCATGGGGCGGCGCAGTGGGAGTGGGGGAAGTGAAGAATACCTTTATGAAGCATCAACTATGTACCAGGCACTCTGGTACTTAAAAACAGGTTGTGAGGCTGGGCGTGGTGGCTCATGTCTGTAATCCCAGCACTTTGGGAGGCTGAGGTGGGTGGATCACCTAAGGTCAGGAGTTCAAAACCAGCCTGGCCAACGTGGATGAAACCCCATCTCTACTAAAAATACAAAACTCAGCTGGCCATGGTGGTGTGCACCTGTAATCCTAGCTAATCAGGAGGCTGAGGCAGGAGAATCACTTGAACCCATGAGGCAGAGGTTGCAGTAAGCTGAGATCGTACCACTGCACTCCAGCCTGGGCAACAGAACACGACTCTCTCTCCAAAAAACAAACAAACAAACATAGGTTGTGGTGACACAAGTATGTGTGACTCAGGTCTCACTTCTGCCTCTTTACTGACTATATGACCTTGGGCAAGTGACTCAATGACATAATCTCATTTACTAAATTTATCAAGCCTTTGTTTCCTCACCTTTAAAATAGAGGTGAGACCACCTACCTTTCAGGGTTTAGGGGAGAAATAAATTATATATGTAAAAGCAGCCAGGCACGGTGGCTCACACCTGTAATCCCAGCACGTTGAGAGGCCAAGGCGGGCAGATCACCTGAGGTTGCGAGTTCAAGACCAGCCTGACCAACATGGAGAAACCCCATCTCTACTAAAAATACAAAAATTAGCCAGGCATGGTGGCACATGCCTGTAATCCCAGCTACTTGGGAGGCTGAGGCAGGGGAATCTCTTGAACCCTGGCGGCAGAGGCTGCATTGAGCGAGATCATGCCATTGCACTCCAGCCTGGGCAACAAGAGCGAAACTCCGTCTCAAAAAAATATATATATATAGAAAGAGAGAGAGAGCATTAACTATAGTATCTGGCACAGAGTGAGCACTCAAAAGCTAGCTATTATTACAATAAGCTTAGGCTTAGAGAACTTAGGTAACCCACCCAGTAACACAAGGCAGAGTTAAAATTAAAACTCAGATCTGACTCCAAAGCAATTAAGTACTTTTTCCCACCATCCTGAATGCTCCATAACTGACACAGACAAGTCCTGATCATCCCTTGTATCAGGAGAAAGTCCACAGCTCAAAGCCCTCACCAAAAATAGAAAAAATAATATTGTCAAAGTTATTTATGAGAACCATAAACAGAAAGTATGCCTGGATGAGCCATAGTAATATCTAAAAGTCACGGAAAAGGAGAATACAGAAACCAAAACGAATTTTAAAATAGCTCAAAGCATATACCCAATAGTTAATTCCCAGAAATCGACAAGGCTGAAACACCCAGCTCTTCCAGAATTTCTTAATAAGCTGCATACACAGCTGTCTGCCTGGTTTCTAACCCATGACTCATTGAAACATCATAGATAATACAAGATGACCTGATAAAAACGGAATTCATGCTTTGACTGGAAACTTCAGACGAGCAGTAAATTCCCAGCAAGCTCCAACCCTTCCCTACCACCCTCCCTACATCAAGCACTTAGGAAGAAAGCAAGATCCCCGCTAGTCCCACCACAATGATCCAGATGTGGTTCCTATAGTCAACAGGCTCTAAAGAATGTATCTTTACAAATTCACAACCAGATTTTTTGAAAAGAAAGATCAAATTCCTAAAAACAATGCTCCTCAATTGTCCTGCAACCTTTTATAAAGAAGAGGAAATAATCTTTAATGTACTATTTTCCCTATAGTGTATGCTAAAGTACTTAGCTGGAAGTCAAAAGGCCATCTCTGCCTAAAGACATGTTTTGTTTTGTTGGCACAGTAATGAAAATAATTTTAATTAGTTGCAAACAGCCAAAACCCGTGAGATTTTGGACATAAATGTAAATCCTTTTAAGGAATTTAGAAATTCTGATGACCCTGGGACTCCATTTCCCTAGATATAACAATTGGTTAGAGCTTGGTAATGACACTTCCTCCAGCAGCGTATGAGCTCTTTAAGATGCCTAATGTTCCCTAACATCTAACACACAAACCACCTCTCACATTCGTATCATCTGACCCTTGTAGGCACATGATTCTTGACCTAGATTTGGAGGAACAAAATCACAAGAGATCCAGTCCCTAATTTCCAGTTTCCAGAACCTTTACAAATACTCACCAATTGCTAAAGCCAACTGATCCTTGAGTGAGCCTTCTCTGTCAGGCCCAGCTGGAAGTCCAGAAAGCTCAGAGGAATTTAAGAAGCCCTAAGTACACAAAGAAAACAAACATGAACTGATTCTGTAATATTCAAATTATCAAAAGAATAGGCAAAAATAGTCTACTTCTAAGAAAATTATTGGCCAGGTATGGTGGCTCACACCTGTAATCCCAACACTTTGGGAGGCCGAGGAGGGTGGATCACCTGAGTTCGGCAGTTTGAGACCAGCCTAGCAAAAATGGTGAAACCCCATCTCTACTAAAATACAAAAATTAGCTGGGCATGGTGGCACACGCCTATAATCCCAGCTACTGGGGAGCCTGAGACACGAGAATCGCTTGAACCTGGGAGGCGGAGGTTGCAGTGAGCTGAGATTGTGCCAATGCACTCCAGCCTGGGAAACAGAGTTGAAACTCCATTTCAAAAATAAAAATAAAAATTATTTAAGACAACTAAGTGTAGATAATATTTTCATTAAGCCAAGGATGTTAAAAATTGGTAACAGTTCCATCTTTATAAATATTTTATTCTATCACTGCACCACCCCCAATAACATTCCACTCTCATCCTCCAGTCTAACTTCTTAGAATGTAATTTCCTAGAAATCAAGAACAATTATTTTCTTTTTATTTTAAATATAGAGATGGGGTCTCCCTGTGTTGCTCAGGCTGGTCCTGAACTCCTAGCTTAAGAGATCCTCCTGCTTCAGCCTCCCAAAGTGCTGGGATTACAGGCGTAAGCCACTACACCCAGCCAAGAACAGTATTTTTTTTTTTTTTTGAGATGGAGTCTCACTCTGCCGCCCAGGCTGGAGGGCAGTGGCATGATTTCAGCTTACTGCAACCTCCGCCTCCCAGATTCAAGTCATCCTCCTGCCTCAGCCTCCCGAGTAGATGGGACTACAGGCATGCGTCACTATGCCTGGCAAATTTTTATATATTTTTTAGTGGAGACAGGGTTTTACCATGTTGGCCAGGCTGGTCTTGAACTCCTGACCTCAAGTGATCCACCTGCTTCAGCCTTCCAAAGTGCTAGGATTACAGACATGAGCCACCACACCTGGCCAAGAACAATATTTTCATAAAATCATAAAATGTTAGAGCTAGACTTGCACATTGTTGATGGGAATGCAAAATGGTACAAATCCAATGATGTGAAATTGTAGTATCTAATAAAACTACATATGTATTTATCCTTTGACCCTGAAATCCTATTTCTAGGAATTCACCTTGATGATATACTTACAATAACACTGCACAAGTTTATTCATTGAACAATTATTTCTAATCATAAAATTGTAAAAACAGCCTAAATGCCCAAACATAGGAGATTAAACTATAGCACATCCATACAACAGAATACTATGTAGTTGGAAAAAATAAAAAGGATGACCTTCATGAATTGTTATGGAGTATTTCCAGGATATATTATTAAGTGAAAAAAGCAAATTATAAGTGTATATGCATATTATACTACTATCTGTGCAACAAAGAACTATTTGTATAAATATGCTTATTTTTGCAAAAAGAAATACTGAAAATGGATTAACCACAATCCAATGACACTGGTTATCTAAGTAAATGGATGGATGGGAACCGGGTAGAAGGGACAGAAGCAGTAACACCTCTCCAAGTATAGCCTTTTTTTTTTTTTTTTTTTTGACAGTTTCAACTTTGAGGACTTTGTTAATGTATTTTATATATTCAAAAATAAAACTAAATCTGGCCAGCCAGGCACGGTGGCCCACGCCTGTAATCTCAACACTTTGGGAGGCTGAGGTGGGTGGATCACCTAAGGTTAGGAGTTTGAGACCAGCCTGGCCAACATGGTGAAACCCTATCTCTACTAAAAATACAAAAATTAGCCAGGTGTGGTGGGGGGTGCCTGTAATCTCAGCTACTCAGGAGGCTGAGGCAGGAGAATCACTTGAACCCAGGAGGTGGTGGCTGTGGTAAGCTGAGATCAAACCACTGCACTCCAGGCTGGCTAGTGAGCGTGAAACTCCATCTTAAAAAAAAAAAAAAAAAATCTGGCCCAGTGCCGTGGCTCATGCCCATAATCCCAGCACTCTGGGGAGGCCAAGTCAGGCAGATCACTTGAAGCCAGGAGTTTGAGACCAACCTGGCCAACATGGTGAAACCTCATCTCTATAACTATAAAAAATATTTAAAAAAGAAACAAACAAAAAAACCCCAAAGTGCTGGGATTACAGGCATGAGCCACGGCACCCAGCCAAAACAAACAAACAAACAAAAAAACCCCACACATTTAAAAAATAAAATTAAATCACATATTTGGGGTGAAAATAAATATTGACTACTAAGAAATATAAACTATATTTCAAACGAGTAACGTAACCTCACAGAAGGAAAAAAAAAATCCAAATAACAGAGTCACGTGACCACCTAACTTCAATGTAAAGACAAAACGAACTACAAATAAATCTTGAACTCCTTAGTAGTTTTGTTATTTGCAGTGGTCAGGGGTAGCAATTCTGAAACAATTTTGTATATATGTTGTAACACTGAGTACATATGAGTACATAGGTAAAAACAGTAAACATATTGAAGTTGCTATGAAAAAGGAACCACATACACACAGCACATACACCTGCACTGTCTGCTGAAAGAACAAATGACATCTCAGTAGAAATCAGCACACTTGGCTGGGCGCAGCGGCTCATGCCTGTGATCCCAGCACTTTGGGAGGCTGAGGTGGGTGGATCACGAGGTCACGAGTTCAAGACCAGCCTGGCCAACATGGTGAAACCCCATCTCTACCGAAAATACAAAAATTAGATGGGTATGGTGGCACGTGCCTGTAATCCCAGTTACTCGGGAGGCTGAGGCAGGAGAATTGCTTGAACCGGGACCCGGGAGGCAGAGGTAGCAGTGAGCCAAGACCGCGCCACTGCACACCAGCCTGGGCTACAGAAAGACACTATCTCAAAACAAAAAAAGAAATCATCACACCTAATACTCAAATCTTGGTTTCTAAAAACCATTCCCCAGCTAAAAAGGACCAGGATTCCTTGAAGAAGTGGCCCATTCCATAGTTGAGGAAAGGAAAGTATGACATAAACCCAAAAGATAAGAATAAACAAAAAAAGGGCTGGGCGCGGTGGCTCATGCCTGTAAACCTAGCACTTTGGGAGGCCCAGGTGGGCGGATCACCTGAGGTCAGGAGTTCAAGACCAGCCTGGCCAATATGGTGAAACCCCCGTCTCTACTAAAAATACAAAAAAATTAGCCGGGTGTGGTGGCAGGCACCTGTAATCCCAGCTACTTGGAAGGCTGAAGTGGAAGAGTCCCTTGAACCGGAAGGGAAAGGCTGCAGTGAGTGAGATGGCACCATTGCACTCCAGCCTGGGTGACAGAGAGACTCCATCTCAAAGAAAAAAAAAAAAAAAAAGCGATGATAACATGTACATAAAAAGTGACAGGGCCAGCTGTAGTGACCCAAGCCTGTAATCCCAACACTTTGGGAGGCCAAAGCAGGTGGATTTCTTGAGCCCAGAGGTTCGAGACCAGCCTGGGCAAGATGGCAAGACTGTCTCTACAAAAAACTTAAAAAAGAGCCTAGCATGGTGATGTGCACACATAGTCCCAGCTACTCAGGAGTCTGAGGTGGGAAGACCACTTGAGCCCAGGAATTTGAGCCATCAGTGAACAATGATTGTGCCACTGCACTCCAGGCTAGGCAAGAAAGCCAGATCTGTCTCTATTCAAAAGAAAAAAAGAAGTGATAAAGCAAATACAGTAAAATGTTAACAAATGATGAATCTGGATAAAGAGTACACTGAGGCCAGGCATGGTGGCTCACGCCCGTAATCACAGCACTTTGGGAGGCGGAGGCAGGCAGATCACTTGAGGTTAGGAGTTCAAGACCAGCCTGGCCAACATGGTGAAACTCTGTCTCTATAAAATATACAAATACTAGGCGTGTGTGGTGGCACGTGCCTGTAGTCCCAGCTACTCGGGAGTCTGAGGCAGGAGAATTGCTTGAACCCAGGAGGTGGAGGTTGCAGTGAGCCAAGATTGAGCCACTGCACTGCAGCCTGAGCGACAGAGCAAGACTTCATCTCAAAAAACAAAAACGAAAACAAACAAAAAAAAAGAGTACACTGGTGTTTACTGGCAAAATCAGAGCTAAAATTTCTGGTTCAAGTGACTTATCTACTCAATACAATTTAAAAAAATAATGTCAACATTGTTTTCCATATAATATGACTATGTAATGCCAGTAATAATTAACATTTACCAAGATATCTCAAGAGAAGGATAAAGAAGATAAAAAAGTTAGTAATAAATTCCAAAAAATTACTGTGAGTGGTTGGTTCATTTTTGCCTTGGCAATAAAGCTAAGTCAAAGGCAGAATGACATAATTCCTTTCCCTGATCCCTCTATGGATAAGAATATGCTTATTTTCCTAAACTGTGTCTTTTCCAATCTCTTTTTTTTTTTTTTTTTTTGAGACGGAGTTTTGCTCTTGTTGCCCAGGATGAAGCTCAACGGCTCACTGAAACCTCCACCTCCCAGGTTCAAGCGATTCTCCTGCTTCAACTGCCCGAGTAGCTGGGATTACAGGCATGCGCCACCACGCTCAGCTAATTTTGTATTTTTAGTAGAGACGGGTTTCTCCATGTTGGTCAGGCTGGTCTTGAACTCCTGACCTCAGGTGATCCGCCTGCCTCGGCCTCCCAAAGTGCTGGGATTACAGGCCTGAGCCACCACATCCGGCTCCAATCTCTTTATTTAGAAATTCTTTCCTAAGACCATTCCAAATTTCTGAACACAAAGCCTAAAATGGCTTCACTTGATCTGGCTAACTCCATTTCACTGGCATGCATGCATTCATTCATTCATTCATCTGACAAAGATTTATTGAACTCCAACTAAGTAGTGGGCCCAATTCTCTTTCACCAGAGATACAACAGTGAAAAGACAAATTCCCTGCCTCATAAAGCTTACATTCTATTGGGGGAGACAGACAACATACAGCTAAATTAAAATGTAATATATAAACACCACAATAAAAAATGTTAAATGAAGCACGACATGGGGATATAGTAATGCGGGAAGGGTAATCCTATGCAAAGAGATAGCATTTAAGCAGAGATGTGAAGTAAGGGAATGAGACATGAGAATGTCTAAAACAGGAATAGCAAAGACCCAATGAGGAGAGCAAATTCAGCACACTGAAGACAAACCCCAAACTTACTTTACTGTATGTAGAGAGTTGATCCTTTAGGCTCTGACAATGCATCATGGTTCCAAGGGCTACCTGCTGGACCAACTGTTGAAATTTTAAATTTCTAGAAACAAAATCTGTCTCACAGTTTACCTGTGGGAACAAATTGATATAGCTGTATAAGCTGTTTAATAATTTCCAAAAGTGCCTTAAGGCTGGAGAGTAAATCAAGATACTGACAGAACAAGCTACAGACTCAACAGAAAAAAAATGACTCCAAAATTTTAAAGCTACAGTTCCTCTCCTAGCCCGAAACAGAATGAAGTGATTCACGTTGGGCCAGTGAGTTAGCAATAGCCTGTATATTCAGAAGACGGTTCAATAATGTCCTGAAGGACTTACCACAAGTTCACCACTTACCTGTGTCTGCAAACCATCATCACCTCATTCTCCAGCCATCCCAACTCCAAACCACTTATGCTATTATCTTGTTTATTCCCACCTCTCATTCTAAACTAATCCACACCTGATTCTTCACCAATTATGGCCCCCAAACCTCCTCTAAAATAGCTACATTCTATTCAACAACAATTAATATAATTAACTTTGTAATCTAACTGTTCCAGGAAACAATCAGTGACAAGGGGTAAGGCTGCACCAGACTCACATTCAGGAGTAATATTCTAGACTGCTAGGCCATTTCTCATCAACACACCAGTACATTTCTATACTTAAATGAATTCATAACTAATACCCAAGGTTTCATGAGTTTAACTTCAACTACCCTTTATGTTTCTTAAACAGATCTCTTCCTCAAGAAGATAAAGGGCCTACTACAAGCTTTATACCCAAGGGACAGCTATTCTTGGTATCTGGAATTTCCAACAACTCACCTCTACTAATACAGTTGTGTTTCCTTCCTGCAACAGCCCAATCAGGCCTTCTTTGGTCTTTCTCCCTTGGAGCTTGGCAGCTTTGCTCCAGCCCTCCTTCTGGGCCTGCTTGTGGAGCCAGATCTCTGCCTATAAATTGAGAAGAAAAAGAGCAGACAACAAAGTCACAGAATTTAGAACTAAATGTAATTCTAAGATACGCTCTGGTTTCCTGATTCTCTAAATTCTCTAACAGAAACTGAAGTAATCTATCATTTACTGGCAGTCTACCACTAAATGCCAAGCACCAGGTATTATTACAACTGGTGCCTTGGATGAATTTAATCTTCACAACAACCCTATGGGGCACACAGTTGTATTTTCTTTATACAGTTATGCAGCACATAACAATATTTCGAACAATGACGGACTCCACATACGATGATGGTCCCTAAGATTATAATGGAGCTCAAAAATTTCTATTGTCTAGTGACACTGTAGCCCTCCTAACATTGTAGGGCAACATATTACCTACATGTTTGTGGCAATGCTAGTGTAAAGAAAACTTCTGTGCTGCCAGTCGTATTAAAATATAGTAGGTACAATTATACACAGTACATGATACCTGAAACAATGATGAACAACTATGTTACCGGTTTATGTATTTCCTATAATATATATACTTTATTGTTATTTTAGAGTGTACTCCAACTGATTAAACTACTCAGGAGGTTCAATCTCTTGAACCCAGGAGTCAGAGGTTGCAGTGAACCAAGATCAATCACGCCACTGCACTCCAACCTGGGTGACAAAGTGAGACTCCGTCTCAAAAAAATAAAAATTGAAAAAATTTAACAGTAAAACAGCTTCAGGCAGGTCCTTTAAGAGGTATTCCAGAAAAAAACATTGTTATCATAGGAGACAACAGGTCCATGCCCGTTACTGCCCCTGAAGACCTTCCAGCAAGACAAGATGTGGAAGTGGAACACAGTGTTAATGATGATCCCACTCCTGTGTAGGCCTAGGCTAATGTATGTGTTTGTGTCTCAGTTTTTAACAAAACAATTTTTTTTTTTTTTTTTTTGAGACGGAGTCTCGCTCTGTCGCCCAGGCTGGAGTGCAGTGGCCAGATCTCAGCTCACTGCAAGCTCCGCCTCTCGGGTTCACGCCATTCTCCTGCCTCAGCTTCCCAAGTAGCTGGGACTACAGGCGCCCGTAACAAAACAATTTTTTAAGGTAAAAAAAATTTTGGCCAGGCGCGGTGGTTCATGCCTGTAATCCCAGAACCTTGGGAGGCCGAGGTGGGCAGATCACGAGGTCAGGAGATAGAGACCATCCTGGCTAACATGGTGAAACCCCGTCTCTACTAAAAATACAAAATAATAGCCAGGAATGGTGGCAGGCATCTGTAGTCCCAGCTACTCGGGAGGCTGAGGCAGGAGAATGATGTGAACCTGGGAGGCAGAGCTTGCAGTAAGCCGAGATCGTGCCACTGCACTCCAGCCTGGGGGAGAGAGTAAGACTCGTCTCAAAAAAAAGAAAAAAAAAAAAAGAAAAAAAAAATTTTTTTTCAATAAAAAAAAGTTTGAATTTTTTTTTTGAGACAGAGTTTCATTCTTGCTGCCCAGGCTAGAGTGCAATGGCGTGATCTCAGCTCACCACAACCTCCACTTCCCAGGTTCAAGTAATTCTCCTGCCTCAGCCTCCCGAGTAGCTGGGATTATAGGCCCTCGCCACCACACCCGGCTAATTTTATACTTTTTTAGTAGAGACGGGGTTTCTCCATGTTGATCAGGCTAGTCTCGAACTCCCAACCTCAGGTGATCTGCTCGCCTTGGCCTCTCAAAGTGCTGAGATTACAGGCATGAGCCACCACGCCCAGTCAAAAAAAGTTCAAAATTTTAAAAACAGAAAAAAGCTCACAGAATAAGCACATAAAGAAAAATATTTTGGCACAGCTGTACAATATGTGTTTTACACTGTTATTACAAAAGAGTCCAAAAGTTTAAAACATGTTAAAAGTTTATAAAATAAAAATGTTACCTTAAACTAAGGTTAACTTATTATCGAAGAAAAAATTTCTTACAAATTTAACGTAGCATACGTGTACTGTTTTAATGTCCACTGTAGTGTACCATAGTGTCCTAAGGCAGGCCTTCTTATTCACTAACCACTCACTGACTTACCCAGAGCAACTTCCAGTCCTGTAAGCTCCATACATAAGTTCCCTATAGAGATGTATCGTTTTTTATGTTTTATGCCTATTTACTGTACTTTTTCCATGTTTAGATACACAATACTTATCACTGTGTTACGATTGCCTACAGTATTCAATCCAGTAACATTCTGTAAAGGTTTGCAGCCTAGGAGCAGCTGGCTATTCCATATAACCCAGGCTGTAGTACAATACACTATCTAGGTTTGTGTAAGTACTCTATGACGTGCGTAAGCCAAAATCTCCTAACGACGCCATTTCTCAGAATGCATCTTCCTGGTTAAGAGATGCATGGCTGCACAGACAAAAATTACACAACTCTGAAAAATTAAGATGTCTAAAGTCAGCCAGGCGCGGTGGCTCACTCCTGTAATCCCATCACTCCGGGAGGCCGAGGCGGGCAGACCACCTGCGGCCAGCAGTTCGAGACCAGCCTGACCAACACGGCGAAACCTCATCTCTACTAAAAATACAACAACAACAAAAAAAATTGCCGGGTCTGGTGACACACGCCTGTAATCCCAACTACTAGGGAGGCTGGGGCAGGAGAATCGCTTGAACCCGGGAGGCGGAGGTTATAGTGAGCCGAAATCGCGCCATTGCGCTCCAGCCTGGGCCACAAAGGCAAGACTCCGTCTCAAAAAAAAAAAAAAAAAAAAAAAAAAAAACATATATATATATACCTAAAGTCAGACTGGTGGGGCACCACAACGTGACTCCTGATCGATCTGACTGTAAAGCTCGCACAAACCCTTCCAGTTCCAGGCAACAAGAAACACCATAACAGTCTGGTTTGTTAATCCTGGGATACTCAATTGCTTCCAAATAAGACAAAGTGAAGGCCAAGGTTGTCATTTAAGCCAGATTTCCACTTAGGGCTGTGCCATTATGGTCACTGGAGAGCAGGTCTAACTTCACGCTCCCCAGCGTGACCGCTCCAAGAGTCTGAGGTCGAGCTCTAGTACTCCGCCCTGCACCCCTCCACACACACCTGTTTGAGGTCCCCGCCACAAGTCTCCAGAGCTTTCTTGCAATTTACAAAAGAGTAGCCTGTATTCCGCCGCAGTTTCATGAGGAGCTCCTTGCTGGAGGCCGAGGCAGACAGACGGGGCCCAGCATGAAGTGTGTGCCGTGGCTGGGGCGACTGACGCAGAAGAGACCCAGCCTGGATGGGGTAAGAAAGGGATGAGAGGCAGGAAGCAGCAAACTCCAGAGGGTGGAGGGTACACTGGCAGGGAGTGGACGGTGTGCCAACGGGGGTGCACCGGGACTGGACTGGGCAGAGGAAATGCTGTCCGGGAAGGTGGGATGGAGTCAAACGGGGTTGGGAGGAAGGGAAAGGTACAGGCGCACAGGAGAGCTGCAGGGAAAGCAGGTCGGTACCAGGACCAGGACTTCTCACCGGGTGGCTCCCGGTCCGCGCAACCAGGAACACACGCAGTGACCGTAGCAGCAACATCTCCCTAGCCGCAGTAAACTCCCTCCCGCCGGCGCAGTAAACTCCCTCCCGCGGGCGCAAAGGTGAGGCGACAAACCTACGGCGCGGCGGAAGGGCCAGAATTCTCCAGCGGAACGCACCAAACGAGGATGGTGCCACCTGCTGGCCGGAGGAACACAGTCCTCTCCTCTACTTGATTTCTTGAGACTACACATTTGTTTTTCGGTTTTTTTTTTTTTTTTTGAGTCTCCCTCTGTCGCCCAGGCTGGAATGCCGTGGCCCGATCTTGGCTCACTGCAAGCTCCGCCTCCCGGGTTCACGCCATTCTCCTGCCTCAGCCTCCCGAGTAGCTGGCACTACAGGCGCCCGCCACCACACCCAGCTAACTTTTTGTATTTTTAGTAGAGACGGGGTTTCACCGTGTTAGCCAGGATGGTCTTGATCTCCTGACCTCATGCTCCGCCCACCTCGGCCTCCCAAATCCCAGCTCACGCTGGGATTACAGGCGTGAGCCACCGCGCGCAGCCTGAGACTACACATTTCATACGGGAATTACCCCCTATCTCCCACCCCAGGTAAAATAACAGAAACCAAGAAATAAAGTTGTCACAAAACAACAACACAAGAAATGTGGGTAACATTTTATGTTTATTTTCAATGTGTGTTTATATTCATTATCCATTTATGACTCACAACAAACTTGTGTAGTTGGTGAATGGGTTCTGGAATTTGTCCAAGGTCACCTAGAAAGGCAGGGGTGGAATCCATTGAACAAAGCGAATAAATATTTATTGAATGAGCACAATATCTGTGTGTGCCAGGAACTGTGTTAGGCTTCTGGGGACTAGACATGAGTAAATCACAGCCCTACCCTCCACGGTAATTTAATGGTGAGAAAATGAAAATCAAAAATGTCCATGCAAGACAAATTAAGGTCCCATAAGAAGAACAAACAGTTAAAGGGTCTCAGGGAGAAAGAAATCACATTCAAGCAAGGGGCTCAGGAAAGAGGCAAAGAATAATGAAGATTTTGACAGGTGGCAAGAGCCTTTCAGGCAGAGGATTATCATAAAGAGTGAGAAAGAAGTCAGGAAACTTTAGTGTGGTTTTAGAGAACAAAGAGTACATTTTTTGTAATTTGGCCAGAGGTCCAATACATGTAGCAAAGGAGTAGGAAATGCAATAGGAAGGTAATTTGGGATAACATGGACACAGACTAAGTACCAAGCAGAGGAGCTTGTTCTTGCTTCTATAGGCAGTGAAAGCTAATCAGAGCTAATTTTGGAAGATCCCAAGAGTTTGCAGAATGGACTGAAGGAGAAAGCATGGAGGCAGGGAGTCCAAAGAAAGTGACTATGTGCCTAAGCAGTAAGTAAAGAGAGCCCCAACCAGAAGTACCAATGTGGGAAGAGAAAAGAGGTGAAGGCAAAACACATTAGGAACTGTGTTAGGCTTCAGGGGATTACAGATTAGGAAGGAAGGACTGATGAAGCTAAAGAAAAATCAAAGATGAAAACTTAGTACTGAGTCCAGTGTTCTGCACAGCATGATGTTCTGTGATCAAGGCTCTAACTCCGGAAAGCACGAAGAAACTACAGTCCAAAGGACAGCTCTGCAGCCTCAGCTTCGGAGCTGGGAGGACTTGACTTAGTTAGAGCCATGGTTCCACCAGATTCTATCTCTAAAAAGCAGGAAACAGGTGGTTTGAGGCTTCTTCCTTCTCAGCTCCTGAGCAAAAGCTGAGTTCTTGCACAACAGATTTTTAAGGCTTAATTCTTTCTTAAAAAATAAAAAACAAAAACAAAAAAAATCCTGGGCTAGCGCAGTGGCCCATACCTGTAATCCCAGCACTTTGGGAGGCAAGGCAGGTGGATCACTTGAGCCCAGGAGTTTGACACCACCCTGGGCAACATGGCAAAACCCTTCTCTACTGAAAACACAAAAATTAGCTGGGTGTGATGGCTCATGCTTCTAGTCCCAGCTACTTGGGGAGCTGACGCAGGAAGATCATCTGGGCCTTGAGAGGTTGAGGCTGTAATGAGCTGTGATCATGCATCTGCACTCCAGCCTGGGTGACAGAGTGAGACCCTGTCTCAAACAAAAGAAAAAAAATATCCCATAGAATTTTCTTTTAAGTCCATGCTGTATAAACAGCACTGAATGGAAGTGATCAGTGACAGTCTCTCTACAACCACTGCTCTCATATCCCATATACCTGCCTTAGCCCCTAAAAATCTTAGATACCTTACCATCCTCCTCCTCTGAGAACAGGAGCCAGGAACCTCCTTGGTGTTCTAACACTAGTGCTGCCAGAGCTCTGGGATTCCTGGTAAGCAGGCCCCTCACTGCACCTGCCCAAGAGTATCTGGGGTAACAAAGAGGGAAGGAAGAAAGTGAGAGAGGCCAGGGAAATCCATCCTTTTTGGTCTTCATGTTTGTGGCTCTGGAAACATGATTTTTGAGATACCCAGTTCCTTCATTAGGGCAAGAGACTGAGAAGAACAGCAGGGGTGATGTCAAGCAGGTCTTGGTTCCCTGTGCTTGGCCCTATAGATGTTGACATTTTCATCCTCATCCCGCTGAGCCAGCTCCAGTTGGAAATGCTGGGGCAGGAGGTGCTGAAAGAAGCTCTCTGTCCCGTGCTCCTCTCTCATCTTGGAGGCCAGATAGATGGTGCCATGGGGCCTGCACAGGTGTTGGAGGGTCCCCAGCAGCAGAGGGAAGGTGGGTTCCAGGTACACGATATCAGCCCCCAGCACCAGGTCATAGTCTCCAGGGAAGACATGATGGTCAATCCCCCAGGACAAGGCACGCACCTGGGCCTGGCCTCCAGCTGGCACATTGGCCTGGACGTTGCCCTGGATCTGTTCTAGGGCCAGGGGTAGGTCAGTGATGGTAACATCCCCCCCTGAGAGAGAGGAAGGAGGAAAAATGCAAGTCAGAGGGACCAACCAAGGGTTCTTGGCTCCTGCCTGGAAGGTCCAGAGACCTCAGAACATAGAGGACAATGTCTTGACAGCCCGGAGCCCACTCTGGCTTTTAGTTGCTTCAACCTCCATTTCACCCACTGCTATTCTCATTACCCTACATTCTACAACATCAACATTCTCTCTGAGCTAATCTTCAACCTCTCTGGCCAACACACAACAATCAGATGTCAGCAGAAGCCTGGGCAGGACTAAGCTGGAGATGGGTTCTGCACCCACCCCCACTGACACAAGCTTGCCTTAAGGGTCTGGAAAACTTCCCAGAAAATGTGACCTCAGCTGAGTCCTAAAGGACAAGTAGGAGTTAGTCAGGTGGAGCTTTCCAAGAAGAGAACAGTGAGTACGAAGGCCTGGGAGTGAGAGAGCATGGCATATTCAAGAAAGGCTGGATCTTAGAGGATATGGAAGGGGGAGAAAAGTGTCAAGACATGAGATAAGGGGAAAGTGATTATGATATGCTAAGGAGATTCAGGTTTGGTACTGAGGGCAATAGGCTTTAAGGGCAGAAACAGGGGTGAAGATGGTCAGATTAGCATCTCAGAAACCTTCATTCATGCAGTACATATAATTTGGAGCACCTACTAAGTGCTGGGTGTATAAGGTGAGCAAGACAATAACGCAGCTTTCTTTGTTTCATTCTAGAGGTAAAGACACGCTAGGTACTGCATCATAATCATGATGACTATGATAGAAAGAGAAGCAAGAAGTACTAGGAATCCATCCATTCATTCATTCATGTATTCATATTTATTATGTGCCTATATGCCAAGTGCTGAGAACATAATGATGAACCAAGAAGATAAGAATACCCCCTCACAGAGCTTATGGTCCAGTGGCAAGAAACAGATAACAACAACCAAAATAAATAAAATAAAATACACTGTACATCAGATGATCATATATGCCATGGTGAAGTCCCAAGCAGGGAAGGGGGATAAGAATTGCTTGAGGGATGGGGAGAAATGCAAGTTAGAGTGGACCAACCAAGCGTTCTCAGCTCCTACCTGGAAGGTCCAGAGACCTCAGGGCATAGAGGACAAAGTCTTAGCAACCTGAATGTAATTTTAAATTGAGTGGTCAGACCAGCCTGACCAAAATGGCGAAACCTCGTCTCTACTGAAAATACAAAAAATTAGCCAGGTGTGGTGGCGGGCGCCTGTAATCCCAGCTACTCGGGAGGCTGGCAGGAGAATCGCTTGAACCCGGGAGGCAGAGGTTGCAGTGAGCAGGGATCACGCCATTGCACTCCAGCCTGGGCGATAACAGCGAGACTCTATCTCAAAAAAAAAAAAAAAAAAAGAATGGCACGTGCTGGCTGGCATGCTTTAGGAGGAGCACACTGGCTGCTGTGATGAGAAGAGTAAAGGAGGGCAAGGTCAGAAGCTAGGAGACCAGTTAGGAGGTGACGGCAACGACCCAGGTGAGAGATGATGATGGTTTAAACCAGGGCAGCAGCAATGGCTAAGAAATGGTCAGATCCTGAATATATTTTGAAGGTAGAGTCAACAGGATTTGCCAACAGATTGGATATGAAATATCAGAGAGAGAGAGAAGCTTGGGATGGGCCAGGCACGGTGGCTCACACCTGTAATCCCTTTGGATTACACTTTGGGAGGCCAATACGGGATGATTGCTTGAGTCCAGGAGTTTGAGACCAGCCTGGGCAACAGGGCAAAACCTCGTCTCTACAAAAAATACAAAAATTAGCTGGGTGTGGTGGCACGTGCCTATAGTCCCTGCTACTTGGGAGGCTGAGGTGGGAGGATCGCTTGAGCCTTGGGAGGTTGAAATGTCAGGGCTTTAGTGAGCCATGATTGCACCACTTTCACTCCAGCCTGGGCAACAGAGCGAGACCCTGTTTCAAAAAAAAAAAAAAGCTCAGGATGGTTTCTGGGTGTTTGGCCTGACCAACTAGAAGACCAAATTGCCACTCATTTAGATGAGGAAGGTTGCAGGAGGAGCAATTTGGACAGGAAGATCATGAGTTCATTTTCTGAGCACATTAAGTTTGACATAGACATCTATATCACATCAGACAACCACATGAAGATACTGAGTAGGCACTAGGTTATGCAAGCAAGTCTGGAGATAGAAATGGGATAGTCTTAGAGTCATGATCACCAACAGGGCATT